TCATTAATAATTAAATAAACTGTTCCTCGTACAAAGTAAACATAATTGCAGGTTTGCCAAAACCGCGAGGTCGTGGATCAGTTCGTGGTGTCTGCGAACGTGCAGCCGACGACGATAGACGAGCAGTGCCTGCAAGGGATTCCCAAGGACTTGTTAAACGATGTCATCAAGCTCAAGTTTGGCAGCGGTTTCGAGGGTTTGTCCGAGTTGATTGGCGTGGCGGCAGCAACGGTGCAGCAGCAGCCGACAACAAGGCTGAAGCCAGCAGTGTCGTCGGCCGCTATAATGAGCAGCGAGCAGCCATCCATGGCCGAGTCAGTGGATAGCATGTGCTTCTTTAATCAGAACATCATGGGTCCCAACCAAGTTACAACTACCACCAACGACGCCGACATCGATCACATTTCCCAGCAGGTCGCCAAAGAGCAACCCATCGACGACGATCCAGAAGACAAAGAACAGATTGAAGACGAGCGAAGCCTTGAGCAAATCATGGGCTTTGCTAGCGACATCAATGTCCAACCTGGTGATATTAGTCAGAATGTCGAAGATATTCTACAAGTGAGTGACCTGCTGAAACACCCTTACCTACTCACTATTAAATTAACATTAAGCTTCATCTGAAATTTCCAATAATATACACATTAAATTAACTATTTTCGTTGAATAAATGTTCAGAGCTCGATGTCAACTCTCTGCATTTCGTTTAACAAAGTTTGACTTTACTATTTACATCAACAATTGTGTTGGAAAAAAGATATATCTTTAATAAAATACTTTAATTGTAGGTGATAAAGTCGATGGAGAGTGCGGCAGAAACGGGTGAAAGCATAGGCAGCGATCATCGATTATCAGGCGGTTGTGGCGGGTTGGTGGAAGCAGGATCCACCCAGTCGACAGTGGAGGGAGTTTCGGAAATATTTCCGGATGGCGAGGCATTTGCCTTGAACCTCCTCAACGATATGGATGTGATGAATTTGGTGAACGACAATATCGCGGATAGTGTAGTAGCCGATCAACCTTCGTCGCAGCCACTTCGACAAACGCCCACTAAATATACTGAATTGGCAAAACGGCAAGCTCAAATCGAAAGGCGACAACACGACCTGGAGCGACGAGCTTCATTTCTTACACGTCGGCTATTAAAGCTTAAAGCTCAACTGGTCGGCGAGCACGTAGCCGAGGAGGCAACCCACGTACTTGAACTAGCGCAAAAGAGCGCAAAAAAGTGTTTTTATCAAGACTTGGCAAGCCTTGGCCCAAAAGCTGGTAATACAAGAAACTTTCCCGAGCTTGCTGGTAGCCTCGGCAGCTTTCTGCAAAAAGTTCAGAAGAGCTGCAATGCCCAAAGCAACAGTATGGCCGTACGGCAGAGGAACACGTGTCGTTACTTCGGTGCCGGTTCCAAGGATAGTTACGTCAATATTACGGCAAATAAGATACCCGTATTTGGAGTGCCGCAGATCAAACTCGACGGTGAGCAGGTGGAAAAAGTTGCTGGACCACTTGCCACCAAACTTAAATTTCTGCAGAGTGCGTATGATTCCGATTGCACGGCGTCGAGTAGTGGCGGCGAGAGTTGCGACGAAATGCAGACTTTTAATAATCTTCATCAGCAGTCGTTATCAATGTGAGTGAGCGATATTTTTTTTTATTTTGTTCGATTTTCGGTAGTGCGTTGCTGGAAAAAGTACGATAATTTGATCTACGTTCTTTAAATATTTGCATTTTCAATGATTTATGATTTATACAACTATTTGTGCATTTGCACTGGATAATGTTTCATTGCAAATATTAAATATGTATCGTGCTTTTTTCAATCTATGTATATCATTTTGCAGTGTTTTTCAATTCTCGCATGTTCATGCTTTGACTAACTGGATTATGCTTCATTGTATTATATGTGTAATTATCATAATTTCATCTAAACTAACTCTAGGATTTTTTTTTCTGTATTACTAATAATTTTCTAAATAACTTCATAAGAGACGAAGAAATTATATTTAGTTCGGCCTCTTACTTAAATTTTTATTTTGCATAGTTCTTTTCATAAAAACTTCCAGTAATCTGCTAAAATGTGCATGCGCGCGCGATTCGTGCGTTCGTGCGTTCGTGCGTTCGTGCGTTCGTGTACGTGTGTTTGTATTTATATTTGTGCTTATGTTTATGTTTGTATTTGTGTTTGTGTTTGTGTTTGTGTTTGTGTTTGTGTTTGTGTTTGTGTTTGTGTTTGTGTTTGTGTTTGTGTTTGTGTTTGTGTTTGTGTTTTAGTTTTAGTTTTAGTTTTAGTTTTAGTTTTAGTTTTAACACATTTTCTTTCTTTGCACAGATTTTTATCGTATATAAATAATTAAGCTTGCATAGACAGCTTCGATTTTTTTTTCATGTGCACCGTTAGATTTTGCTTGGCCGTTGCATTTTGGAACAGACTAACAAATATTAATGTTTTTGACCATCTGAAATGAATTTTTTTTCGATAAAACAAACATACTGACAATTTTATTTATATGAGTTAGTAACACCGGTTAAAAATCCTTTCAGACTATTTTCGCGTGACATACCGGAGCAACGCGACCTATCTTTTGGCAGAGAGATGCAAATAGAAGCACTTTCACCCCTATGAATTTGTAGGAGATATTGCATCATCTTTTATTACTTACTGTATCCTTACCTTTTTGCAATCCTTTATACCGTTTTTTCAGTGTAAGTTGTCAAAGTCAAGTATTGTTAAATCTTTTTCTACTGAACTTTCATTTGCAATGATACTGTGATCAGCCATTATTTATCGACTCAATCATTGTATTCATGTATTTGTTAATTGTAAGAATTGAAATCATACATGAAGTTGCTTGAACATCTTTTAGCTACCCATTAAATTGTTTGAGCAAAAAATAAATTGTTCTAGTCTAAATCCTGAATGCTCAAAAAATGTTTTATCAAAAAATTATTTTATGAACGAGTAGTTCAACAAAGAGTGTAATAATATCGAATTATTTTATATCTCTTAGTCCTTTGTTTGCCCATTTATTGATTACCGTTTGTAAAATAAACATAAAATCCATTAAAATACACCGAGTAATAAAAAATATGTTCTAATATTATGTAAACATAAAATAGAAAGTTTTCCAGTTGGATGTTCGACGTATAATATCTGCGTGGATAAAACAAAAGTTGTTATAACCGAACGATCTGTAGACGCGATTAAAACTTTGGAACTGATATCTTTGCTTTAAACTGACTCATCGAAATCCAACGTGATATTAATTTTTTATGCGAGCATAATAACAAAAGTAAGCCAAACTGGCAAGCAGGTACAATTTTCCGAAAAAAAAATCGCAGCAATAGCAGTTAATTGATGTATTAATATTATTTTTTACAACTGATACTCTTTCAAGGTTGAACACAGACTTTTGAACTTACTTTAGTACTGATTTATGTAACTGCATTAATTTGTTAAATATCAATATGGTAAAATTAAAAACTAATTTCATATTTACAGTTAAAAGTTTTCATATTTACACGTTAAAAAAAACTTGAAATTCTGACGAGTTCAAAGCATTAAATACAATACAAACAAGTCTATTCAACTTCGTATACCTGCGGATACAAATTGGCTGTGCATCAATAATATCTGCTGATATTGTCCTTTTGATGTTCTTGATAAGCAAAATCAATAATAACTTTAAACGTTTTCGTGGGTCCCTAGTATTGAAAATGTGAGGATTGTTTCATATGCAGATAAATTTTCGCAAAACAATAGAATTAATACACACATAAGGTAAACTAGTATATCCGATTGGTAGATACCTTTCCGAAAATTAGACGTTAACGCAATAGATAATGCGCATGATCTTCGTATGTAATCGTTGTTACCAATTGGTGTATTTCTATGATGCGACTATATAATTACCATTCTTTTTATCAGGGACGTAATTAATCTGCGTAGATGATGAGATAGATCAATAAAATAACGCGGGGATCGTAACATATCATTTAAAAATTCGTATAATAAAAATCGAGGATCGATAAGTAAAAAACGCCCGCGCATCAGTAATTTGGCGTTGAGGAATAATTATCAAACGCAAGTATTCACGAATCTCGTAATAAAGGATGAGTCACTGGAGATTCCCTAAAAAAATGAATAGAAGATTCGCCCTTTGAAAGCACGGAGGCCACTCCCAAACACGGGTTACTGACCGGCATAGAACCCTTTGGAAAGTGGCGGCAGCAGGTCGATATTTTCGTGAAAACGCGAGGCGCCGAAGCAATAGCAGCGCAGCTTAACGACTTTAACATGCAAACGATAATTGTATTTAATACTCGTTCAGTCGCTCATTGTGCGTCGATTAAACGGACTAGTAATACAACTCGCTGGCCCTTCACAGCTTCTTCAACGTGCTAAAGTATACGCGATTGGGACTCAGAAAAGCTGCTCATTTGTTTTTCTTTGACGTCTTCTTTTAAAAGGTTTCCGAATTGCCACTCTCTTCGCATTTCTGGTGTCGTCATCTCTTTTTTCCTCGTGATCATTCGTCATCGTTATTTGTTTAACAATTTCGAATAACTAGAGAGTCGATTTACCAACCTGTATATGACATTTACCACGTAACCGGCGTGAAATTTAAGTCGTTGTTTCTAATTTTGCGCTTTTTTTGCGAGCACAGATATCTCTATTGAAATTCAAACGGGCGTTTGATTGCGTGGCAAGCGTTCAAACGCAAAGCGTTCAAAGCGCACGAAACGTATGACCGGATTTCTCTTTAGTTAAGCTAAATTGAAACAATGACGTAGCCGCGCTTCTCTTTGACTTTTAAAAACTACGTTGAAGAATCTGATATTCATGTCATCGTCGTCTGTTGAGAGAGCCTATATTTTGAATATCACAACAGTCGAAGCCACTGATTAATTGCGCAAAGTAATAATCATCTACTGATAGTGGGCATCGATTGCGTTGTTGTAAATCTAATCGAATCATCAGTTCTACAGACTCGCTATAAATTCGATCTATGAAACACTCCTGACACTTATTCTACATGGCTATTTGACTACTACGGCAGATCGATGAAAGATCTCTCGAGTGGGAAAATTACTCGAACATAATGTCGACGCTTGGAAACTAAATCTATGAAGGTCGTAAAAAAAATTAACAACGCATGAAACTGAAAATTGAAGTGCCGTAGTAAACATAAAGAAAGAGATATCATATGAGGAGTAATTTCAAATTTTTTTATAGTATCTAATATTTATCTTTCTCTAGAACAAAATTATTTTGGAATTAATCTTTCGATGACGCAATTCGCAAACAAGCCCCAGTTCAGTATGCAGAATAATGAGACTTTATTAAACAGAAAGTAATTAATCTCGCGTCAGTTGCTTCGATTATTACACATCTATCTCGCTTAGATTGAAATCAGCGCGAACTAATGAAACTCTGCTCAATTACCCAAGTTTTCTGATAATAAAATAATGAAAAAAAAACGAATTCCGGGCTTTTCTCGTTAACGATGTATTAATTCGCGGGTACGTAATGGTGCTTTGGATGTATCGTATTGCCCTGAAACTGATTGATACGTAACGCCGTATTGATCGCAATTAACCAGAATAAAGTCGTCGTGCGCGCAAATCTGTATTTATTTTCTCTTTTTCTATCTTTCTCTTCAATAAACACGATAGAATACAAATAGAGCTGTAAATATAAAAATGAAACGGTCTTACTTTTTTCCCCGCTTCGTTCTTCCAGGCAGAGGATACAAGCGCTCGTCCTTGTTCTACAACCAAACATTACGTGGTGCCTTGTGTCATTTCTCAATTACAGTTGACCGAAGTCCTACACATCCCGGTAATATTGCGTAACGCACTGTTTTTTATTGTCTGGCGAAAATAATAACTGGACTTTCTCATCTTCGACTAATCAGATTTACCGGGTTATTGGGGTTCTCAGCTATGAAGACGATTTATTTCCGCGGTAAATAAGTGGAAAATTATTTTAATGGTGAAGTTTGGATAATTCACGTCGTCTTCGAAGCAATCTAGTAGTAATTAAATTCAGTACGCGGAATCAACGGTATAGAGCCAATAAAAATTTAGTAGAAGTTGCATATTACTCCGAATAAACCGACACCGCAATGCAGTCACATAATGATAATATTTATAATTAACACCTAAAGCTTTCTGAAATATTTCTTAATTCAAAAAATAGAAACTATGGACTACTGTATAATCATTCACTATACATATCAATTTCATTGTAGATTATTACGTTAAGATAATGCATTATGTTATGAATATATTTGATATTCTGCTTGTGTATTGCTTTAGATAATTTAATCCATTTCGCAGATGATGGTAAAATTTATGTTGCTATATATAAGCCATATTCCAGCTTACTGATAAATGACAATGGTTTCAGTTCAAAGCGAGCAGGCTGGCGATACGCGCAGGAACGTGCGAGCCTCGTATCACGGTGGACTTGGTTACAAGCTCAAATCTCGGATCTGGAGTATAAAATCCGCCAGTATAACGAGCTACAACGACAGATTCGTGCAACCAAGGGTATGGTAATCCTAGATGCATCACCACTGCCACCAACTACCGCAGCTGCCGACTCGTCTACGGTCAATGGTTATAGCGGCGCCTTGCCAGGATCACGTGCGAATTGCTCTACCACTTCGCCAGATACACCACCACCTAATTATCCCGCCAGTCGTACGAGACCTTATATCAGGCAATTGTACAGAAAGCGCAAGCTCTTCCAACTAGACCGCTTGCACGAAGTCTCGAAGAAAGCTGCCAGACCTGCTACCGCGAGATGTAGTTGTGATGGTACTATGGCCCCATGTGCTGTATGTACTGGCAGAAAGGAACCTACGGGCAGTCAAATCGATATGGATCTGCTCAGTGTACCAGATAGAATCGCTATGGTCGATCCTGGCTTTCATCCCGTACTATCTTTGCTCGACGGTACGAATAAAATTGCATCTGTTATTGAAGTGTTTCTGACTTTCTTAAATATCCACATACGTCATTTAAAATAATGCTTTCCATGGATGTTCCATGACAATCGTTGTTTTGAACTTTTATTTATTATTATTCATTTCTATATTTGTTTAAACATAATTATATTGAAATAGTGATATTATTTCAAGCAACAGAAATATTAAATGTGTCTCTCAAACATAGATTCAAAATGTACATACGTGATCATAATGTGAAATTTATTAAAATTACTGCCATTAATGTATCTATTGTCGAGTAAACATCAGTATGGATTTAAAAATGAAATGTTTATTCTACAGAAGTGCCCCATACCGTACACATAGATGCAATCCTGCGATCTCCCGAATGGCAACAAAAAATATTGAGGGGAGGCATGAGAATGGTAAAAATAAAGGATAAGGATAGTAACGAGAGGAGAAACAAGAAAGTCTCCGAACAACGTGTCAAATATCCGACGCAGGCTACAAATTCCAAGAAATCTCAGTCTATTTCGATGGGTGCAAGTAAGTCACTGATATTTTAGTGAAAACTAGTTACACTGCAAAAATATGGCGAAAGTTGTATGTTAATTTCTATTGTATCAAAATAGTACACATTTGACCGCAAGAGCCTTATATAGTAGTTTATAAACTTTTACTGAGTCGCCACGAAAGTGCCAGCAAATTGCTTTATATCCTGTCTATGTTTATAAATTCGTTATACTACTTCCGGCATTATGGATTTTTACAAGTCCACCACAAAGGATAAAAAAATTTACATTATAATATAGTTTCCGTTACGAATTGATGGAAGACACTTCAAAATTTTATTGTTTTGTTTCTCGTAAATTGCCAAAAATGTTTAAGTAGCCGTAGTTAGCGAAAAAAAGCTCTTGCTTGCCAAAGCAATTCAACTCACCGACCGAATTTTATAAAAACCATATCAATGCATCTGTCATTGCTTACATTACGATTTAAGAAATCATACTTTTTCAGGGATAAAACGCAAGGCCCTAAAAGGTAAACGCAGCCAAGGTACGGGTGAACGGGCTAATCATGGTCTAAGCAGTGGAGGCGGGAGTAGCCGGAAACGTAATACCGGAGGTTCGAAAGTACCGTCAACACATCAACAACAACAGCAGCAATCAACTACGCAGTCGGGTTTTGACGACGAGGAAGAGGCGAGTGTACTTTCGGGCTCCAGCAAGTATTCTTCGCCAGTGCCTTCTCCCTTACTGCCAAATCAGACGGCACAAGTGCCCGAGAAGAGCGCCATTAAGGAAAGGCCCAATAGTCATTCTCATAGGTACCATTAATTAATTGACTCTCTCTCTCTCTCTCCCTCTCCCTCTCCCTCTCTCTCTCTCTCTCTCTCTCTCTCTCAATATTATACTGAGTGATTTAAGGTGATTTTTAATATTCATAATAGAGATCATATAAATATTATGTTATGAAAATATTATTCTGTACTTAAAGGATATGATTTTTATAATGGTCATTACTTGTATTTTTCTTTTATGGCTGTTCTCGCTTAACATAGTTTTATTTCAGATGAAGCTATGCTTGGTCAGTATAGACAATTTAGAAAGAAAACAACTTTATTATACTTCGTTAACAAATTTTTGAACCTCTTCAAAAATTTTATTATGAAAAACAATGAAAAAAAACAAACTAGAACACACCAATACAAATGAACAAAAAAACTTACAACAAAAACAGCCTAAAATTGCTGTAGACAGAACAAATGTACGTAATCAACTGGTTTTTCCATTACAGTTCAGTCTTATATACTGTGCGCTTAATCTTTATTCCGTTGTAGACTTGCAGCAGCATTGTATATCTTATATAATTAGTTTTGGAGTATCCTTTTTATCATTAATGTTTTAATGAAAACTCTTGATATGTAGCATTCCTGAGAATAAACGCTTTTTCCAGTTAGATTCAATATCCAGAATGTTGGCACCGATTCAATCAAATTCGTGATTGACTTTTCGCGCATATATATATATAACCACACCCTTGTTATTATTCTTATATTCCTTAATGCATGTTTTCAATGTTCGTTTAGTTTCACCAACATGTTATTTCACGTATTCTTACAAAAATTCAATCACAAATTTGAGGTGATCGGCGTCAGCGATCTGGATTTCGAGTTTAATCGAAAGAAGCGTTTGGTTTCAGAAATACTACATATTCGTTGCAAGTTTACTTGTTTTCGTTATAACATTAATGATAAAGAGGATACTGTAAAACTGAATAACATATATAATCCTATTATAAGCCTACTACGGATTAAAGTTAGATTCAGAGTATATAAGACCGATTAGTAATGGTGAAATAAGTCGATTACATACATTTGTTCTGACTACAGCAACTTTAGGCTGTTATTTTGTAAGTTAATTTGTTGATTTGTAGTGGTGTATTCTAGTTTGTTTTTTTTCATTCTATTTTTCATAATAACATTTCTGAAGAGGTTAATAAATTTGTTAACGTAATGTCAAAAAGTTATTTCTATTCCGTATTGACCACACCGATCGCTTTCGTTATTTATAACGTTTCTTAGGTTGATAGACGATGACATAAATTTGTTTTATTATTTGATAAGTGAATTTTGTGTTGAAAATTATACATTTTAAATGATTACTTATCAAGAAACGGAATTTTTTCGTTGTATATCGGTTGAAGCTAAAATATTTTTATATTCCCACCGACTACTCCAATTTAAATTTATACTTTTTTGAAAATAAATTGTATGTATATAACTTAATTGTATGTATACAACTTAATAGATAAGTAAAAAACTTATTGATAATTAAGGCTCGACTTAAATTATTTTTAAATAAGTAGTATCTTCAGTGCTACAAAGCTATCATTTTTCTAAAAATGTTCTACACCTAGCTTCGAAAGTTAAATTTTTTGTATATATTTTTAGGTTATTTTAATAAATTACTTTTTTTTTTCAGTCGTATCCGGCAAAATTCGTACGACATCGACAATATTGTCATACCCTATAGTGTTGCTGCGTCGGCGAGACTGGAAAAGCTGCCTTACAAGGAAATTCTTATACCAAAGTAAATATATTCACTAATTGTTATTATTTTTTGTACAATCAATGCTCCAACGTTGTAACATTTTACAGGTGGAGGCTATGCGAAGATCCTCTAAATACGGACGTGAAGAATGGTGCTGTGCAAAAACCTGGTTTAGACAACGATGTAAGTGTTTTTAATAATTTCCATGATTTTATATTTCAAAATTATAGGAATTTCAATCATATAAATCAATTGTTTTTTTAGTTTGAAGACATTTCTGATGAAACGACTGCACTAAGACATGAAAGAGGCGGCATAGAAGAAGCAAAACGATACGAGAAAAATTCGAAGCTACCTCATCATTCGCGAATTCGACACAGTCGACGAATGGAAAGTCGAACAGATAGCGGTGCCAATACACCAGGTAATGTCATTTAATAAAAAATTTTTTAGACTATTATTTAATGAAGTGTTTTAAATTCATATATTATTTTAGATCCAATGTCGCCTCACGCAAGTGATTTTGGCGGAGACACAATGTCGCCGATCACTTCGCCGCCGGCAACACCCTCGACACCTCAAGATACGGAACACTCAGAAACATACCATCGACAAACCTCTTTGCAAAACGCTCTTCGACGAAGAACAATGTCTTCATCGACGTCTCGTTTACAGAGAGAAGAGTCAAACACTTCAGTTACAGAGGAGCATGAGGTAAAACTTTCAACGGTTATAATGAATTTTGCATTAATAATATTGTTCACAAGAAAAGAAAGTGTTTTATGACAATATATGGTTATGGTATATCCAAGAAACATCTTTACAAATGTAAGATACACTTTGTACTAAATTTTAATCATTTATAAAACTTTTGTATATTTTTTTCTAAGATTTTTACTTAAATATAGTTTCTAAAAAAATTGCTACTTAAAGTCTAGAGAAACTATTTTAACTTTTTTCTGGGATTTGTTTTACTGGATGAAAACGCTAATTGACCATTCAATTTACATGATCTAACGTCTTTTTTGTTATCGACTAAATATTAAGGGTGTAATTTTGAAACAAAAATTCCGTTATATACTTTTTTATAAGTTTGTAAAGATGATTCTGGGTGTTAGATATAAGGTAACCAAACTTTTTATTAAATATTTTTTCTGTATTTTACTTTTATAGCAAGTCTTACCTTATGAACCAAGATCTTTCCCTCTGACTGATGAAGATTACAGCAAGATGATGGAGGCAATGCCAAGTGGATACTTCCTACCATCAACAGCCCCTTCTGTATGCTCTCAAGAGGAAGAAAAAATAGATGTAAGATATCATAAATTTTGTTATGAGCATAGTCTTTAATAAAGATTATATGCAGAAATTTGTTATCTAGGAACCAGACGTAGATTCACAATCTGATTCAACGGAGTCAGCGATGTGCGAAATGGAAGGAGAGGATCCTAACGATCCAGAGTGGACGGTAGCCGAAACGAGAGACACAGAAAAAGAGCGAATCCGATCTACGGCTAAAAGATAGGAAGAGCTCGTAGGCAACTCCAATAATTTTGGGCGTATGTCGATTTTAATGGCGCGTGTCGGTTCACCTATACGGTTGAAGCTACCTGTCAATTGTTATGCATACCTGTCAATGACAACATTGCACCTTGTGTAAAAGTATGATCCAAGCTGTAAAGTGTATTATAATTATAAATTTTGTAATTTCACCGACGTTTGCGCTTTAATAGCTTTATCTTTAAAGACGATTCATAATGAAAAATCTGCTCAAATAGCTTTTTTGTATAAAAGAAGAGAAAAAAGGGAATCTTAAATAATGATGCGTCAGAAGGTTTAGAACCGATAAATAAAAAGAGGTTTTAAGACAGGGAGGATGTATTTATACTTAATTTCTAGTAGATTAGTAACTTGAACTTTAACTACGAGAGTCGCAACAAACAATAAAAGTGCCAATTCTAACCTCTGTACTGTCGTACTTTTTTTCTTTTGAATTCTTATGAATATCAAATTTTTTAAATGGAATTCTTTTATAAAGAAAACATTTGAATACCTACAGTTTAACCAAATAATAAACTGTTTTCAGGATGAATTTGCTTTTTCGATTTGTTTTCAGTTCATACTGATTGGGTGATCGTAGAAAGATTTTAATTGTAATAATTTATTTTTTTAACTTCAAACATTTTTAAAGAAAAATAATAAAACGGAACCATTTCTAATATAAACATTACTTAATCGTTGTCAAATTTCTTTTTGCATGCAAGCAAGTTACATAATGGTGACAGAAAGTTAATTTTTTATTTATATGTAGTTAGCTTTATAAAAAATTTGAAATAATTCATTTACAAATTAGTTACAAATATTTTTCTAACATGATAATTTTTTTCAAGTCGTGATATAATCCTTGAGTGACGGATTTTTCAAACTATACCATTGATTTATTTCCTTTAAAAATTACAGACTTTGAACATGTAAGCACTACAAAGTAAACTTGTAATACTATAAAATATTGCTTTATTTTCAAAAGAAAAAAAAATATAAAAGTAGATGTGTACACTAAAACAATATAAAATAATGATAGCTTTGTTCAGCTGAAGATTATATTCCATATTTCACAAAAATGTAGGTAATAAGAAACAATGTAGGTCAAAATTATTACAATGCTTTCATTTGGTTAAAGTAATTTCTTAAATATAATTGACTATGCATCTATAGCATCTAAACCTTTTTGGTATAACCTAATGAATTAGGGTAAGATTTCATTGATGAAATGAATATACCAAATTTTGTATAATAATATTATGTCGTCTCGTATTTTATTTTTATTTTTTATCATTTATATTACAAGTAGTATAAACCTATTTACAAACTTTGTAAATTGATTTTTACAATTTCAATTGTGATGGTGTAAATTATGTAATTAAAAAATATACCATCAGTACAATCTAAAAGAGTCTTAATTCTTGTATTTCTGGCTGTTTGTGAGTTCCATCACAGAATGGCCTATTTAAGGTTTGCTTGCAATTACAAAGCCAATATTCCTTAGTCTTAGTTACTGTAAACTTGATTGGCTTCTGCTTGATTTTTAACCAGACATTGTTATGGGTGCCATCACAGAAAGGTTGATTTTTACTCTGACCACATAAGCACCAATGATATATTTTACCTTCTTCACACAAAATCTTGAATGGCTTTTTGTCATAAACCTTGCCATTTTCTTTCTGCTGAGAGGCAGAGTAAACATCTTTCAATGGGTTCGTTGGAATCTGGGCATCATCTTTTGACTTTGAGGAATACAGACTAGACTGAAATAATGAAATAAACAGTTTGTTTAAAAAATAATCTTTCTTTTTTGAAAAAGACAGGTTAGACATCTTTCAAATACATGCAATAACATAATTTTTTAACTAGTAATAACTTACAACTTGACATCGTATAAAACGCACTCGACTTATTCTTGCTAACCTATTCATAAGCAAGGTATAACTCATTTTAAATTAATTTATTTACAACAATTGGGAGTTCACTTGTCATCAACGTGCACTAAAGATCAATGCAGATTGCAAAACAGTACGAAGCAACCATCCACCCTATGTACAACCAGTGAGTACTACTAGTGACCAGTGAATAGCACATTCACGTTCTGGCAACACTGCCACAAGGCGAATATACATATATAACAACGCAGAGTCGCGAGTGCTAAAAGTCGTTGATTATCAATTATTACACTAGCCATGAAAACTGTCAATAAAAGTTTTACACATTTCCACTAGTTATTATGGTTATTATATAGTTCGTTATTCATCTAACAATATTTATTGTACTTTAAAGTTTTTATTATCTGAATAATGTGTAAGTATAATTTAAGTATCTAGTTCGGTGGTGCCACTGTATGGACTATCAAATTCAAATTCACTAAAACAATTTCAGAAACGTTGAAATACCTATGATGATATCACCGACGTATACCATAACCTTCAAGTCTCAGCTGTCAACGATAAACATCATAATGTTTATGGTTATAGTGAGAAACATAAAAATTTATTAATAAAGCCTTGTAGTAGATCTGCAAAAAAATGGTCAATTGGCTATTATTGTAAAATTCATTTACAGTAACTTATAAATGTAAGTAAATTGAAGTGATGACTAAAGAATCTCATAAAGAATAATACTAACTTGATTTTTACACTATTTTAGAAATTACAATAATGTCAGATTTACCAACTGAATTGACAGCTAGACCCTTGGCCCTTGTAGGTTTAATTGGTTTAGATTTAAGCAATACTGTTCATCATTCTATCTGGGATGCCTTCAATAATAATCGCAGACCAGATGGTTCAACAGTGCAATTCAAGCTGATAAGCAATACTCATGAATTCCCCACTGTCAAGCCAAAAGTAAGTACAATTAAATGCATTTTTCATCAAAGTAATTGATCATTTGTATTTTTTTACAACTCCATTTTGACATTAGTCAGAAATACTGATATGTACATTGTTATATAAATTGAATATTCACCAGTTGTAACTTATCAATACTTTATAATTTTGTCATTCATTGCAGCGTAACTCTTATGAGTGGTATATACCAAAAGGTATTCTAAAACAAAACTGGATGAATAAGTATTTAAATGAAGTGCCAGCAGTTGTTGTTGTCTTTTATGATCTTGATTGGCATGATCCTATGTGGAATGGAAAGAAAATGGAATGCGCTTCAAGAGTACAGTCATTGAGGTATATCTTAGTCAACAATTTTAAGTAAAAATTAATCATTACTTAAAATTATTTTCAATTTACAGAGCAAATCTAGAAGGTAGAAACACTAAAATAGCTGTAGTTTTGATACAAAAAGATCCACCACCACCTCCTGGGACTGAAGATTTAATTGCAACTGAAAGGGCTACTGCACTTTGTGGTGCCTGTGAGTTGCCAGCTAAAACCCTTTTCTTTTTACCTTATGCTGATCATTTATTAGGTTATGTGTTCAGGTAATTATTCTATAATTAATTTTGAGAACCATTTCAATGTCTGTAGCCGGATAAAATAAATATCTTTTCCAGATTGGAGCATGTCTTGTATGAATTAGCCCAAAGTTTTTATCATCAAGAATATAGAATAGTTAAAAGCCATAGAGATCAATTAAACAAAACTGCCCACCAATATCTATTTGTAAGGCATCAATTTAAAATGGCCTTTTTCAATGAACTAAGGCAAGATCAAAATGCAGCATATAAGTAAGTAATTCAATTTCATTGAATACAAATATTGCATTTAAATTTCATATTTACAATTTTCTACTGCAGACATTATCAACAATCATATAATAATTTACTTGACATAAGGATGGTAGATACAAATTCCTTGGAAATTAAAACAGTAGCATCATTCATAAATTACAAACTATGTAGACTGATGTTCAGCTTAAAACTTCCAAAGGATGCCATAGCTCAATTTAGAAGTCACACAGAGAGATTCAAAACTCGAACTGGTCCCAAAGAGTTGATGTTTGAGCATTATGCTTGGATATCCAGTCAGTACTCAACGTTTGCCGAACTGTTCAACGAGGCTATCCGACAAGGGCTGCCTGCAGTACAAACACAACATCCGGGTTATTATTTTCAATTAGCTGCCACTTATGCCACACAGAGGCACAATGCTTGTAAACAATTGTGTGAAGTAAGTCAATTATTGAGTTTCTTTTTGTTTACTAGACAATTTCAAATCTAATTTCAATTTTATTTTTAGGGTGTCAATTCATGTCCAGATCCTGATCCGCTAGCAGGTGAGGAAAAATTAGAATTTTACGGACAAAGACCTTGGAGGCCTGGAAAATTGAATGCTGAACCTGCCGATATCACTCGAGAGGCAGCTGCGATAAAAGCTTTGCAGTATAAAGAGAAATCGGTGAATCACTCGGTAAGATAACTGTTTTTAAAAATTATTGTCTTTTTCTTATTTATTTACTTTTACAGGTAATCATAATAGGTTTATTAGGAAATGCCATATCACAATTTAAAATATACAGATGTCCGCGTATGCGTCGACTTTTAGTTGTTCAAATGGCTGAAGAATATTTCAACTGTAAAGATTACGGAAAAGTATTAACGTAAGGACGAGGCATTAAATAAAATTCATTTTGTCTTATTGAATTGTGTATATTACGTGTAATTAATGCGTACATAATGTTTTAGACTGCTAATGCATATGCTATGGGAGTATCGAAATGAACAGTGGCCTGTCCTTCTGACAGATGTATTGAAAAGTGCTCTTAAAGCTGCTTATTTATCTGCAAGCATTCAAGATTACATCACGCTGACGGTGGAATCCTTAGCCTCATCTACTACTTTTCCAATCGAGCGTAAAACTAGTATTTTTGAAAATATTAATAATATTCTGCAGGTACAATATTACAACGAATTTTATTTCTATGAAGGGTTATTAAATTCATTTATTATTGTTATTTTTTAATAAGGGTATATTGCCAAATCCCGAACCAGACGTATCGGAAGAACTTAAAGAATCTGCTGTACAAAAGTGGTCTGCACATTTGAATCGGAGCGAGCCTTTTATCTTTACAATAGATGACGATAATATGACATCTTTTATCAATGCTAAAGCTCGTTTTTCTCAGCCAAAATATATGATTAACTCAATGGTTACGATTGAAGTCTTTGTTAGGTAAATTTGATATACATTAAATTAAAAATTTATCACAGTTAAAACTGAAGTTATAAATTTTTGTTCAGGAATTTATATCATGGCGAAGTTGAATTTTCAAAAATAATATTGACAGTAACAGGCTTAGGATATAATATTGAATTACCTGTGAAAGATATTAATGAAGAAAACTTTGTATTTCGTGGTAAAGAATCGAAAAAGTTTGTATGTCAGTTTGAAGCTTCTCAATATATCGATTCATCTGAAATTCAGCTTAATAGGGTTTCGTTGTATCTCGGAAACGAGAAAAAGTGTTGTATAATAATGAAATTTCCGTCAGCCGGAAAAGAAACTAATATGCTTGATCGTTTATATCCTGAAATTCAACAACTCAGGTACGCATGATTAAAATTCCAAATGTCGCGTGAACGCTTTTGAATGGTAATTAATTTACTCATCTACATTAGGGGTGGCTTTTTCGATAGTATTCAACCTTTAATTACTACTAAAATTAAACAAGAAGAACCGGATGTTTCAATAGTAATAGATTCTAAATTACCGGCCCTTCAAGGAGAATGGTTTCCTATAAATATAACTTTTTTGACTAACGAAAATATTTCTAACGTAAATATTTTTGTGAATTTGTTTCAAGATAACAATGAACAATTAAGTAAGTTACTTTTTATATTAATTTTTAATAAATACGTAAATTCCATTAATATGTTCAAAATTTTCAGCTGAGTTGAGTTTAAATATGATCGAAAAGCAATCTTCAATCGTCATTGAAGTTGACGCAATCAGTGCCAATTCATCCGCTGAGAGATTAGTTTACGTTAGAGCTCATAACATTGGCGACAGGACTTTTTCTATTAAGGTAATAACATTTGCTCGTAAACTTTAAAACAACGAGATTAATGAATATTTAAAAAATATATTTTGCAGGTGGAATATTTACGATCTGAGCAAAAGAAAGATTTGAAAGAAACTACATATTTACTATCAGTTGTCAAACCTTTTGATGTAACTACCCAATTTTTTACGAAATTGTACGAGCCTCTAACAAAAGGATTTATAAATGACTCATTGTTCCTCATGCCTCATATCACGTGCACATCTCCTTGGCCAATTGAAATAGAAGATACTTCGATTGAGTTGGTCAGTTACATTTTCGTAGCTTTAGAAACGATGATTTTACCGTATTTACCGAAGTCTTTACCGGATATTGTCGTTTGTAGGGCCACTCAATATCTATGGAAACAGAAATGCCGAAAGAAACAATACTGAAAAATTTAATATTAAAAGAAGACGAGACTGGTACAGATGTTTATTGTATTGTTCCAAAAGTCAATAGCGAACAACCTACCAGCACTGGAATCTATACTATCAAATGGAAACGGTAAATTTTAATATTATAAATGTTCTGAGTATGAAGCAAAGCATTTTTTGCGCATTAGAATAAATTGGAATAAATTCTATGTAGAGCCAATGAAGAGAATGGAGTATTAACAAGCAGCAGTGTAACATTAAGTCCATTATATGTAGAAGATGCGGTTGTAGGTTTAGAGACTAAACTACCTCCACATGGTTGGGTCTGCACGCCATTATGTATTTCATATTATATCAAGAATCATTCCGATTATTTGATAAGTTTAAAATTAAGTATGGAGGCCAGTGAAGCTTTCATGTTTGCTGGTCATAAACAGGTACAACCAACTTTTACGTTTTCCTTCAATGTCATCGTGAAAAAAATATCTGATAAATTTTTTAATTTTCCAGATTGATATCTGCGTTCTTCCAGAAAGTGTGAAAAAAATTGAGTGGATTCTTCGACCGTTGATATCTGGTTCCGTAGCTCTTCCATCTTTGACATTATCAATTCCTGCTGGTAAGATGATAGTTAAACTAACTGTTTTAAATTCATCTACATTTTTATAACATTTAAAAATTGGTGTTTTGTGTCAGATGAAGAATATAAATTGAATAAAACTAGACTTCAAGAAGTCATAGAGCGTTCAATACCAAGTCATATATACATAATGGTGAGTATTCTTTTTTTTCAAAATAGACATATTTTGCAATTTGTTTGCCGTTTTTTAAACTATATCTTCATGGTTAAATCGAAATTCTACTTACAAGAAACTCTATATTTCAGCCCAAACCTCAGACAATACAAGAGTAAGAAATTTATTGTTGAATAATGTGCAGATGTTATTTTGTTCTGTTCGTATATCTATAATCCGTGAATCAATGAAGGTTTTGTATTTATTGTATAAGCTTTGTAAAAATGTAAAATTGAAAATTATGAGTGTTTATTTCAGTATCTATTACAAAGATATTGAAACGAAAATAAAAATATTTGTTATTAATACATAAGTTGTATTTTCGTTTGGAATAATGTCGCTTGTATTTTCATAAACGAACAAAATAAAAAGAAACCAAATTTTTTTTATCTCAAAGCAGGAAAGCGGCGTCGTGCTCGTGTCTACAAAAGTGCAAATGTTTTTTATTGAAAGCTAAAAACCATGTAAGTATTTTTAACTAATTTTAATATTCAAAAAAAAAATTACATCTAAAAAACGTTAGATCTTATAGAATTACAGAAAAATTATGAAATATTAGAGTTACATGTTATAATCGTAATCGGAAAACTACTTACACGTCATGTCGATCTCGTAATAATCGATGCCCGTATTGCCCGTCGTCAACGTTACGCAACAGTATGTATACAAAAGAGGGTGGAAAGGTTCGTACGCGTTTGTACAATCAACATACGTGAGTATCGTATTTGAATTTATAAAATAAAAGTTATAAAAATAAATAAAATAAAAGTTATAAAAAGCTATACAGTAACAAACGAAAAATTGAATTAAAAGAATGATCGAACAAAAAAATGATATTCACGAAGTATTGCACAAATATTTGGAAGAGGAAAGGGATTTAGAGAAGAAATTGCAAGAATGGTAAAAGTATTATTATGATTGTATTTATTTTCACTGCACACACACACACACACGCACAATTTTTTTTATTTTATTGAGCTTATATTAAATAATATTGCACTTTTAATATAATCTGAGATATTTTTTTAAACCAAAATAATTTTTTTATTTAACTGCTTTACTTACTGAATCAGTGATCGAGCGCGACAAGAGTTGAGATGTAGAGGTGATGGCTCGAAAATCGATACAGATCCGTCGGCTACTAGTCGATGCTATCAGCGCGAAGAATCTCATGTTCGGAATCAACAGCTTTTGAAGGTTATTAATCCATTTTATACAAACGCTATACATAATTCGAATAATTGAGTAAAAAAAATTTTTAACAGACTTTGATCTAACTAAACCGTAAACGATTTACTTTTTGTGCATTTCTTTTGCAAAGGATTTCGAGAAAGCCAAAGCAATACTGAGGACTGAATCAACATTCACGCCAAACGAGCAAGAGCTTCGGGATTTGGCATCTGCTTATCGACGTTTCTTATAAAATTAAAAAAAAACAAAAGTTGCTGAAAAAGATTATTCATTGTGAAAATACGAATTGTGTGCGCTCGTACGGCTACTGTGATCGGTTCGTCGAAGCAGTCTCACTTAATATCTCGAGCCAAACGAACAAACTCGTTGAAAAAAAGGACAGTTTGTTGATCATTTGGATCGATCGACCATGTGAAACCTTTTCTGGAACTAATTGAATCTGAGGAAAAGCCGACCTTTCTGTAAAAGTATACAAAGTATAAAGTATAATGATAACCAGGTCGAAAATCGTATGTCCGACCATATCACGTACTCTAACTACTTACAGATGACCGCTACACGTCCAGTTGATATTTATACAACATGATAATCCATTAGCTCCGAGTCCCTCGTTCTGCCTATTCAATTGTGAAGGTTTGGAACTACTTGTTATTCAGCTATTTGTCTAAAAGCTTGCAAAACAACGAGCCTTATAGTTGCAATGAAAATTGACCCGATGCTTTTTTTAAAATTACGAGCGAGCGACTGAAAGAAAACTTCATTTCTACGTGTACTTGAAAATTATTAGTAAAGTCTGATGATAGGCAAAGACAGAGAGCGCACGAAAAGAAATAACATATTTTAGACAATTTCGAGAAAGCGAGTGCTTTTAGGGTGATCGCAACAATATAGTTCGATGAAATTTGGAGTAACCGTGTGTAAAGCGACATGTCCAGCGAAATTTGAATATCTTGCAACTATGATAAACTGCGACAAAAGTGCACGCGACTGAGGATATTTTAATTGTTCTCCGTCAAGTGTAATGATCCTACAGCAAATTAAAAAAAAGAAAGAAAAAGGAAGAAGAAAAAGAAGGAGAAGGAGAAGAAAATTTAGAGCTATAAATTTTGAAAGCTAAAGGAACGCAGGGAAGAACAAAGAAGCAAGAAGATACAGTAGCGTTTACCAAAGATAGAATGAATGAAGCGCTGGTGAACGCGGCAGCATGTGGCTGCGAGGCAGCGAGGCAGCGAGGCGAGCGTGTCGAAACCATGCGTGCGGCGGAGCGACCGACGTTGTGCCTCTCTTCCACCTGTCCAAACGATGTCGACGACGCCACGGCGTTGGCTGCCGTCGCCAGCGCCAGCACGACTTCTCCGTCTAATTGTTGCCGCCGACAATATGTACGTGTGCGCACGCGATAGGAAGCGATAAGCCTACGCTAATTCGTCTTCTTTTCGCTTCTCTCTTTCTCTCTCTTCTTTGCTTTCGCGCGTACGGCTTTTTCCTTGTGTGCATTTCGTGCGTGCTCTTTTTCGTTTATCGGCCTTACGCGCGTGCTTGATTTTTGTGGCCCGAGGGCGCTCAATTGCCCGCGAGAAGAATCAGCGATTTCGCGATTCTATTCTTCGTGCACGACTGCGCACGGCTGGTTGGCAGTAAGTCAATTTGCGGGTTAAGATGTCATCCAGATGAATTTTCATAAGCAGGAGCTCTGAGAAGAATGAGTTAACGTGTTACAAGTTTTAACTATTCTGATGCATGAACTAGCTGAACATTGAAAGTATTTTCATGTAGATTTTCTTTTTGGCGCTTATGTTTATTGAAGCTATTTAAATATACAATAAATTTTATTGATTTTACCTATAAAATTACCAAAAAAATAATGCTATCTCAATGTTTTATGCCCACTTAATGAATTTTTATTGATAGCAACAGACATCTTCGAAAGGATATCTAATGGAATCATTTACTTTAATATTTGATTTTATAGAACAATAAATTAAAAAAAAAACTGCATGGTAAAATGTATATACAAAATCAATTTCAAAATTTTTTTAAATTTAAGCTAATAATATCCATCTGTGATAATACATGTACCCGATATTGCATCCAATATAAATTGATTCAACTTGATCGTTAATTTTGCATGCCAGAAAAGAAATTATATCAATGTAACTATGAGGTGGAGTTTAATACCAGTACTTACACAATTACAGAAAAAATTATTTCGAGAACCAATAAAAACTATTTTCCTCGTCTTTCTACCTGTTAAGAGATACACAAGAAAAAATCTTATCTTTAACGTATGACCCGTAAATCATGAATAAACCTTCCTTATGAATATCATAAGCTTTTAAAAAGAAATACTAAATACTTCGTTATAACGTTTGAACATTCACACAAATTTGTAGTCACCCGTCATTATTTCTTATTAAAGTAATTACTTATGTAAATAATATCAGCAAATGTATTACATTATCGTAAAACGAAAATAGTGCAACGTACGCCTGGAACTTCCAAGGTTATCGAACTATTTCATAGATAAATTTTTTTCTCTTTGACTCTACTTGTTTAGAATCGCACAGTTTTTATACTTGCAGTATTCGCTTCAAACATTTTATGCATCTTAATGTCAAATAACCATTTTTAACAATTTTGTTTTAACATCGACTATTTAGTGATTAATTATAAAATGCTATAATAAACTTGAAAACTTAGGTAACACTCAAAAACACACTTCAATTAATTTAAAATTCAATAATTAACGTAAATTAATATTTTTGTTAAAAATTAAAAATCAAAATAATGATTAAAAGACCTAGCAAGATTACTAGTTCTTTGCTTAATTCGAATTTTAGTCAAGCGTAAAAATGAACCACGTGTTGGCCAAAAATTAGGTAACAGAAAAAAAAATACAACTCATCATTGTCAATAAATTTCAAAATTTACACATCATTAAAATAACAAATCCGCCGATAAGATAATACAAAAACTCAACAAAGATATCACTGTAACTGAAATACTATGCAATACGTTCTTTAAAAAACAACTCACCGTATAGACACGTTAAAGGCTCATTGCTCGACTGACTGCAGCGAGTAAAATTGTTCTCGTCGGACGATCCGTATTTTGCCACGACGAATTTTCATTACAATACGTGGATCTCTCACCTGAGTAAACTATACGCGCCTTAAAAAAATTTTTTTCGAAGAAAAAACTGGAAATTCTACGCCACTTATTTCATGCCTGCTCGCGCCTTTAATTGTGAAGATGCACGCGTGCTAAGTAATATTGAACGCATCATGGACTATTTTCTTTTTACTCTCTGCTGATCATTAACTTGTAATTTGTTTTTCAACAAAATTATTTTTCAGGCCGTTGGCTCGTCGATTCGGTCGCTTATCAAAAGCTTTACGTTACAGCGTTTTGCTCAGCTTGCACTATACACGTGTTTAAATAAATGAACAAAAGTATATAGTTTTCTTTTTTTTTTAATCTGCTTAATTGCACACATTTGGGTGACTTGAATGTCTTTCGTGATTAATGTTTTTTTCGAGTAATTGAAGTTACGGAGTAAGGAGTTTCTCAACAGTTGTTGGTTTAAATTAATTTGCGTCGCAATCGCTTACTGATTTTGTGAGATCAAAGAAAGATGCGATAAAAACTAATTAATATGAGTGAGAATCATGATTTGGACTTATTTTTACTATTGTTATCGCAGCTGTGCAGCCGATCGTATTTTTATTCACGGAAGCGCCGAACGAGAAAGATAGAAAGGAAAAACGTTTCCACGAAATTTCGTATTATAATAGAACAAGCGAAGGTATGAGCAATGTGAAAAATTGGTAAAAAAAACTTACGTTAAAGTACAAATGGTTTCTATCACGCGCTGACGAACGCAGGCTTAAAGCCGGGGACGAACGAGAAGTAGCGCACAGCAACAACGACGCCTTTTTGGTATTCGCTCAAACCATTCTTATCTCACTTTTTCTATGTTAATGCTCTAGTAAAAATATACAAAGATTTATTTTATGGTTGAATCACGACTCGAAAATCACGTTTCACTTATACATTTGCGCAAACAAGTGTTATTACAAATGTATCCTCAGTGGAAGTTTTTTCCAAAAAATCAATCAATTTTTATCGTTATACAAACGGAATCCGACATAACTTTAAAATAAACGACGAATCAGTAAAATGAAGTAATAAGAAAGTTAAGCTTAGTTATTGAGTTCATCCAACAACTGCAAAATTCAAGAATTAAAAAAAAAAGTTCAACTTGAATGCACACACGTGTATTATAAGACGATGAAAAGTAGGTAAAGAGCGATAGTAGATATCGTCTGCCTTGAGCCATAGCGGGTAGTCCGTCTTTTTTTCCTTTTTTACTTTACTTGCCATGCAACCGTTAAGCACGGAAAATGATCTTTTGAAGAACACGTTTTTTTCAACGATATTACTCGCTGTAATTCCTTGTTACTAGTTCAAGGTATGATCTATATATGGAGTTTTTTAATCGATACATTTTACTATTAATAATTATTAGAAAGCAAAAAGTAATAATGCAAAACTACCTTTTGAAGTATTGTCTTACGAAAAATGGATGGAGTTGAAATGAAAATAAATACGTAAAATAACTTATTTTTCTTAATAATTTTTATTGTAAGCAATTACTGTTTAAAAAAATAACAGTAAGAAGCTAAACGTTGTAAAAAAAACTGACTAAAATGCGCATTGTACAATGGAAGATTAAAATAATTATTAAATAAATTTACTAGCTTCAACTCTTTGACTAAAAGAGGAATCAAAAGAGTCAATGTTTCGCTCTAATTATAAATACATAATAAACGTCCCAAAATACCTAACAATAAAAGAAAAGGATCAACTTAGTTCATATCCATTAGCATTAATTTAAAACTTCCTTAAGCCATATTCCGATCCACTACGGCGACTAATATAAATTATCATTATAAACTTTCAAGAAATTGATTTATCACTGGAGCTACTAGCTCGGGATTGTTTAAATGAACGTGATGCGTTCCTTCGACTTCGTGATACTCAAATTTTCTGGCTCCCAATTTAATCACATCCAAGACTTTCTGGTAATTTTCCGGTTGTTCGAATTCCATTCCAGGCTTGGCTCTGATGTTCATGTAAGCACATTTGATTTGAGATGCATAGGCCATTACTAAATCCAAAGAGAGCATACCTAACATGGATACCTATTTTATAAATAATAACGTATATCCATCTTAAAATGAATTTATCGTTCGTAAATTGTTACATGATTAAAACAACTTACTTTTAGTCTGGGATCCCTACTGAAATAATGTTTGCCTGGATTTAACGCCGGTTGCATTCCCCTCTTCATTAATATTTCAGCACTTTCCTTGGTAATACCTCCTTTGTAAGCATCTTCGACGATCTTTATCATTTCACTATATTCATAACAAGGCACGCTATCTAATGTTAATTTCTCAAACTTAAGAAATTTGTCGATGTGATCGCCCGTAACAGTAGCTGTTTTTGTAATGTCTCTTACACTAGGACTGACTATATCCAAACTTATCACAAATTCTACTTCATTTGGGTAGGAAGCTGCATAAAGGAAGGATATTGCACCTCCAAGTGAATGACCCAAAAGTTTTATCTGAACAAAATAATATTTTTATGAACAAATGTATGTAATATAAATACAAAATATAGTTATTTATGGAATAAAATGAAATTAATTATAGCAAAGTTAGTTTTATAACAATAAAATTAATGAAAACTGAATGATTAAAATAAATAAAAAGAAAAAATTGTAGACTTGCTCCAAATTGACGATAATTTTCATAGAATTTTAAACAAATGCCATTTTTATTTTTTTGCTCATTGGCTAACCTTCCTCCATTTGTAATGATTTACAATCCTACGAAGTAGAATTATGCCCTCCCAATGTACATAATAAAATTGGCCATTAGGATAATGCGAAGAGAAACCATGACCAGGTAAATCCAAGCAGAGATAAGAATAGCTTTTTGGTAGCAATGGAACTAATCTATCAAAGCTTCCTGCATTGTCTTGTCGACCATGTAATGTAACAATTGGCTGTATCTCTTTAGGACCCCACCATTTCCCTGTGGATAATGAATTTAATTATTGCAGGAAGATTGTACATATTTTTTCTCCATGAATGAATAAAATTTAATTGTGATATTTTTTAAATTCACAGAAATACAATCTGGTAATTTGCATAAAAACTATAGTGAACATATGTAATTAACATAACAGTACATTTGCCATTAAAGTAATACTCAAATTTCTGGTGATAGCTTCACGTCATGGAACACATTTTATGAAAAAAGAATGTGATGAAAGATGATTGATCTGAGCAACAAAAAGATAGATTTTTCCTGTATAAACACCTATTATTTAGTTTTGATAGAAAACATTATTATTTTAATTTCAACAATATCGGAGCAAGTCCTGTCAAAAAAATTAATAATAATTTCTCCCAAGAACTCTAGCACCATTTAATCAGCCCTTATTTGCACAAACTCTGAAATTCGTCATCTAACCTTGTCCCACTTGTAGTGTTTTACAATTCTACGTAGAACAACAAGTCCATCCCAAAATATATAGTAACTTTGCCCATCTGGAAGGTGAGAGGAAAGACCATGTCCAGGAAGATCAATACAAAGGATCGACATATCTTTTGGCATCATTGGTGCAAGATTCCAAAATGTTCCTGCATTATCTTGCCATCCATGCAGTGCTATTATTGGTTGTATATTTGTTGGACCATACCACATGCCTGCATTTTTCACAGCATATAATAATAGGCGTTGACAATCAATGAAAAATTTTGATGTGTTGTTTATGAGTTACATAGAGACTATATTGTAATAATTGAGTCAACAAAATATGTATAAAAATCTAAATATAGCAATTACTAACCACTAACGTGTCCCCAAGGCATTGGAATGTGGACTTCCTCAAACGCTAAAAAATTATTAATTAATTGAGCATTAATAATAAACAACTATACGTTTATGTAAATTCGAATCTTGTAATTACTTTGATATCCGTTTCGGGATTTAGTGTCGATGCCATTGTTTGAGGAACTCATGTCAGCACGTTGTCTGTTAAGAAAAAACGATTGAGCTTATACTTTGGAGACTGTTTCAAACACCGTAAAAACTGCTTTGTCACGGTGAAAGTCAATTAGGTAATAATTATTCCAATTTTTAGCTGCCACTTCAAGTGGTATCGATGAGGGTAGCGTGCAATTGCAGACGATCTTTTTGCTGATGATTACCTGCAGTTGATCAGGTATAATTGCAACCAATAAATTTCATAGTATTATTGATAAATTTCACTCTTATAATTAAAAATTACAGATATAGAAACTTACTATATCGTGTAAATTCAGTCTCTTTCAGCGAATTAACAGGCTATAGAAATAATTTGAATATGCAATCAACTAAAAAAGGAAGCAATTAGTTTAAAACGGTTACGTTATGAGAACTCTTCTAGCTCCCTGTGCAATTTATTTGTACCGAGTGACGGACATTGATACGACACGGTCTATGACGTTGCAGATAGGCGTTTAACGATTTCTAACTTACCAATGGAGTATATATTCGTTATTAAAAATTTGTGCTTTAAATTTTTTCGAATGAATTGTTTATCAAGCTAAAAGCTTAGCCATCCTGGATATTAATTTGAATGTTAAATTTTATTGAACCTATTTACTCACGATTCAATGTAAATAACCAAAGCGTCGATTTTACAAATTATTTATTTTTTCGAATGAACTTTCAAATTCTTATCATAAGCTCAGTCGATAAAGCAAGCTCCAGTTATTAAATTCTAAGTTCATAAATTCGTTGGTGAGTACACAATCGTTATCGCAACAACAAATAGCATTCGAGGTGATTATATTTCCTGTCTGTTAATTAACATTCACGCGTGTAACAACAATGCGATTCATTAATTCAAAATTCGCAAGTTGTGTCGACCCTCTACAATGACGTATCAACAAGCTGCAAGTCCATGACGTAGGTTATCTCCGTTTCTCCCGTCGCGAGTGTGCAGTGTCGATCTCTGTCTGGGAGTCGGGAGATTCATCGAGAAGATCCGCTAGTCGAGCGAGCAAGGAGCGCATTAATCGAGCTTCTCTTTCTTGTATCTATGTACATCGTATCCTGCGTACACGTATGCTCACAGGCAGTTCCTGACGACGACGTCGCGTGCGCTGTGCTCCGAATCGTCGCGAGTGTGTGAGCAAGCGCTGGCTGCCCAAGAATCAAGAGAGAGAGAGAGAGACAGACAGACAGACAGACAGACAGACAGACAGAGAGAGAGAGAGAGAGAGAGAGAGAGAGAGAGAGAGAGAGAGAGAGAGAGAGAGAGAGAGAGAGAGAGAGAGAGAGAACGAAAGAGTACACTGGGGCAGAGAAAGACAGTTTTCATAAAAGTGCTTTGTGCCACGACAAGGAGCTGCCGCCCGCGAGCATCGCTAGCGTATATGATAGTCTCTACAGAAAATGAGTCGACATGATGGTACGTAAAAAGCCAACCCCGCGATCAGACTGCAAGAACGAGCAAGAGAGAGCAAGAAAGAGAGTAAATGCCTTTCTCCGTGTCTCTCTCTTTGCCTTGTACAGCCATCGCGCGAAGCCTCCATCTTTCTCGCTCTTAGAATTGTCAACTCCTGGAGGAAAAATTATTGTTAAGATGGATGGGGCATCGCGTGATTATGAAAACAGGGCCAGGGAGAAAGAGTGCTGCTGCTGCTCTTAGGCTGATGTCAGAGACCAGATGGCAGCACGCTATCAACCAGGAAATTGAGAGGCTCGCGTTTTTTTTTACTATTTTCCACTTGATTTAATTGCTTGCTTTACTGGAATCTCGATGTATTGCAATACTAAAGTTTTAATTCTTTCTACTGAGATCAACATTGGTCTGCAACACTCAACAACAGTGTACAGAACACTGCTCCAATTTTTTGGCCCTGGCCTGCTTGAGACAATAATAATAATAATAATTATGATGTTGATGGTGATTTTTGCTTTACAGGGGTAAGCTGTGACTCCTGTATGAAAGGAAATTTTAGGGGTCGCAGATACAAGTGCCTAGTGTGCTATGATTATGATTTGTGTGCCAGTTGCTATGAGGCTGGTGCTAGTACCACTCGTCATCTCGCTGATCATCCTATGCAATGCATTCTCACAAGATCAGATTTTGGTAAGCGTTCTTTAGATTTATAGCACAGATTGCAAATGTTAAATTTCACTTGATGCTACTTGAAAATTCAATAATTATTTGTAGAGTTTATAAGATATGTTTAATAGCTCAGGGATTTCACTTTTTACAATATACTTGTTTCGTACATTTTCCTTTAATACTTCTGTACTTTTTACATACAAAAGATGTTGATTTGCTATATCTTTGTGCTCCTGAAGTATTTTACTTTTGGCAACTTTCCAATGTTTGCATGCTTGTGCCATGGACCAAGTTTTTCTGGCCTTTTTCCATCTTTCTCTGGGAATTTATGTTATAAAGATACTTGTTTTAGAAACTTGTTTTTGGTTTTTATTCCTTTCTTTTTTCTCAAATGCTGGAAAAAACTAATGGAGTATAGTTGTTGATTGTGTGTGCATATTCCTTTATGTATATATTTATTAAAAATTTATGCTACCTTTGTGAATAAATGTTCTTACAATGTATTTGAAAGTTGATGTTTTTAAAACATAAAAACCATGGAACTATTAATAATCATAAATTAATTTTATTTTTCTTAAAAATAAATTAATTTAACTATTAATATGTATGATTAAATGTGTCTAATCAATTCAATGATTTATTTTTTTAATCAATACTAGAACTATATTATGGAGGAGAAGGAGTGAGCATTGAGCAACCTCAATCTTTGACTTGTCCATACTGCACAAGGATGGGATTTACAGAAACAACTTTGCAGGAACATGTTTCTGCAGATCATCCCGATACTTCATTTGAAGTGGTATGTTGATTATTGTTTTTCAACTATAGATCAAAGATTATTTATTACAAAAACTTTATTATAAAACAATTTTTTTAATTAAATAGTGTGGAATGATTATATGTATACACAAGTGTGAGAACATTCAGGTCTGTCAACATCGTGGTATGAAAAATGGACCATTGGAAAAATGTGGAAAGGAAAATACCCTTCCTCCTCAAGCATAGAAAATACGTAGGTGTTAATAGTTGTTCTAGGACATGAATTTTTGTTTTGAATGACAGATACTCTTATTTTAATTCGATTGCAGAAAAAAAAAATTTTATAATAAGAATAAACTATTGCCCACCATCACAAAACTTTTAAATTAAATTAAAAAATATATAATTAAATTTTGATTCAGTTTTAATAAAGTTAAATTATAGAATGATAATTTTTATACAGAATAGTACATTGCCAAATATGTATGGAAAAGATATTCTTGTCTTCTGTGCTTTTCCATCCTTGCTTTGCTCGGGTGTAAACCTCACACGAGATAAGATTCTACTTTCACGCACTAGTTAGGTAATCTACTAAATCTTAAACATAGGTGAGCAAATTCTTAAGCGACTATAGGCACACGAATGCCGACCTGAGGTACGTGAAAGTTAGTCTCTCGATTTAACTTACTAAGTGTTTTCTTCTAGGCGCATCACTCGTATCTTATTCTCGGTACGTATTTTTTTTTTACGAGTCCCGAAATGTTGAATTTTATACGCAAGAGAAGAAAATAAGGGAGTAACGAGATTATTATTTTTAATAAAAATGACACACATAAGGAATCCATAGGCCAGTAGCTTGTTGGTAAGCTTATATAGTGGTTGTTCCAGAATAACTACTGATGTCTACACGTTTCCTATATTTGAGGAGAAAGAGCTTTTTTTTTCTCCGACGCTTTATCAACGATCGATTTGTCACACAATAACGTTGACAGATTCAAATGCTAAAAACAAAGAAACAAATTTTTGAATGAAATTTGCTTGATGTTGTAATGAAGTTTTTTACTTGATAACAATTGAAAACAAGAGAGCATTACCATGTGTCAACTTGATTAAATATTAAGCACCATACATAACCAAATTTATAAGTTTTAAAAAGTTTCAAATTTAATTTGGTATTCATAAAATTAAAGCTTGCTGCAATAAATTTTTCGGGTGTCCCTTTTAATTTTATTTTGCGAATAAAGTTTAATTAACGAATTTTATGTTTGTGTTATTAAAATAGTAGGCCATCATGCTACTATTAATAACATCAAATTAAAGTATTTTCTTTCTTTACATAAGCCTATTTTCACTAATTTTAAATGAAAAAATCAATTCAAATTTCGAATATTATTATTAGTTATTAATATATTATTCAATTAGTACCATTCAATTAGAATGAAGCAGAAAATTTATTTTATTGGTTAAGTAACATGGCATATTAATATTAGACATATTTTTGTTTTGAAAGATTAATTTTTTAAAGTATCAAAATGATAGATTAAAAATGTTGACCTACAACTTCTTACATATTATATGTAATTGTCTGAATTACAAAAATTTCAGATTTGTCCGGTATGCGCGTATCTACCTAGTGGCGAGCCAAATTTGGCCACTGATGATATTGCCGGTCATTTAACTTTAGAGCATCGTAGCGGACCTAGAGATTTAATAACTTTTCTTGACGATTCAGCTTCTAATCGATCTAGTGTACGCCGAATACCTCACACAGCTCGAGGTGTTGGTTCATCTAGAAGTCGCAGGTACATACATATTGAGCTTATATAATGGCATAATATAAACGAGTGGAACTTTAACGTATTTACTTTGACTGGGTTACAGGTCCAACATGCATTTCAATTCTTCTGGCGGACTCAGTCCTAGTAGTAGAGAAGGGATTGATCCAATCGCCGAATTGCTGTCACAGTTGTCTGGAGTTAGAAGAACTGGAGCAAGTGGTTCTGGTAGTGGAAGTGCCGTTCAGAGCTCATCTGCGCCATCGCAGTTACAACAATTACAAATGCAATTACAGATCGAACGTCAACAAGTCAGAGTAAATTGTTTTACTATTTTTTGTTCTCATCGTGTCCTTGTACATCCAAAAAGATGAGTCGATAGAATATAACGTTTGACGGTACATCGTTGCGTTTGTTTATAGGCTGCGAGGCAACAATTAGAACGATTGCCAAAGCGACAGACTCAAGTGATCGGCTCAGTTGCCGGCGGGGCAAGCAGCAGTGGAAATCACTCGAGCACTATGTCTAGCGTTGTACCCAGCAATGCGGCTAATAACAATAACGTTGCCAGCTCTGCCAATCCATCCAGTGTATCGGCATCGAATGCACAGAATTCTATGTTTCTGTTACCTCGGTAAGCTTATATCTTTCTTTCTTGCAGCAACATTAAAGCTTCTACAACTATACTCTCTCCGTGATGACCTTTTCTTAACGTTGCGACGTGTCATGCGCAATAGCGCTACACATGTTTAAATAAAGAAAAGCATAGAGTACTGTACTTCTAAGAAGAATAGCCTGTTGTAAATGGCCAATTAGAATTTTAGATTTATACTGACTGTTTTCGCAAAAAAATTGTTTTGTATTCAGTTTTGTTTTTATTCTACCTATTGCGATTTCAGTGAATAATAGTGTCAAATTTTAATAATTTCAAAAAAATGCTGGAATCAGAGTAACATATAAATAAGTAATAATACTGTTAACTTTTAAATTAAAAATATAAGTAGATTCAGTTTGCAAACTCTTATCAGAAAATCAAACATTATCTAATACACTGCAATTTGTAAATTACAGATGCATAGCGAGTACACCATCCGACTCGCAGTTACAGAGCATCGAAAGGGAAAGTGCAAATCGTAGTCTATTTACGCGCGAGTTAGTGGTGAGCACATTGGTAGAAGCATTGCCGGATCTGACCTTATCTCAGCAGCAGGTAGCTTCGAGTGCGCCGACGCCTGCCTCAAGTGTATCCACGGCAATGAGTAGTCCCGAGACGCCGAATGCCACCAGTGCCTCGTCGTCTTCGACAACTTCCAACCAACAACAACAACATCAACAGCAGCAGGCATCGTTGAAAAAGTCACAAGATGGTAGTAAAAGAGAGCAGCAACAGGGCAACAGTGTAATTAGCAAACAGAGTGCAACGCAACAGCAACAGCATCAGGCCGCGGCGTCGCCAGCCAGTCAAGGTTTACCGGCGAATCCAAATTCTGCTGCTGCTGCAGCAGCAGCTGCTACTGTCACAACTCAAAGCACGACGCCAGTCGTACAAACACTAATGCACGTCATACCTCAATCACTGGTGAGTTTCATTTTTTGCTTGTATTATATAATTAATCGTGCAGTCCTGACTTTATTAATTTCTATTCACTTTTAATTAGAGATATGAATAGTTTAGCCAAGTGTTTATTTTTCTTTTGTAATTCTTGATGTGAAAGTACATGAATAATACAAAGTTTTGCATAATTTTTGAATGTCCAATAGATACTATCTTACTGATATAGACATGCCAAGAAATTTATTTTATGAATCATTACTGCAAAATTAATTTTCACTGATTTTGTCCTAAAATTATTGTTTCAACTACCTCTGTTCTTTGCACACTAAACGTTACACGTTTCACAAATTCAATTTTGTTTCAAATTCAATATTAATCGAGATTTATAGTAGGCGTTACTTTTAATTTTATTCAAAATTACTTTTAATGTAAGATGTTCATTTGTGGGAATCTAAAGAATATGTCAATTATCAAAGTTGAGATGATTGAACTATCTATACTGTATCTGCGCACTCATTTGCTATTTGAAACCACTGTTTTGAATAATGCTTTAGTTGAATAAAAAAAATTAAGTTACATGAAATTTAAAATAGACTTTTTATCTTTTAGCATCTTTCCTGAAAATCTGCATTGCAAACAGGTTTGATTTTCTTTAGTTTTTTTAGTTTTTTTCTGCCATCATTTTTAATTTTGCGCAAATTAGAAACTAGATTGCAGTGTCGTTCACACACGTCAGTAAACTTACATGCATTAATAAACACATAAAAAATTGAAACTGTCTAAACTATTAGAATCATAAGACATAAGAAGCAATTAAATTTAACAAAAAATATTTTCATACATTGTATGTGTATCAATATAATAAATATAACATCATTGTTGAATTCATGAACTGAAAAGTTCGTACTTGAAAAAAGTATCCTCGATTTTTCACGTGATAAATGTATGTGTGTACATATAGTAAAATATAATGCAATGACGTTAGAAGTTAAATAAAACTATTTATCAAAATATGTCTCTTCAATCCAGTATTTTAACCAAAGAAAATAATAATCGAACTTTAAAAGCTCCTGAATTTTCAATAAAGCTTTTGAAAAAAGCCTGATATTGCTGTGGAATCATTTATTTAGAACAAATTCGAAGCACACATTTGTTATATCATAGTTGAAAAAATTGTATCAATCGAAACATTTCAAAGAGTCTGACGTAAACCACAAAAAATGCTGATATGTTGTAGGTATTGCAGCAGCCACTGCCAATAAGGAATACCGGCACCGGTACGATCAGGCAACAGATAGGTGTGCCAACAGCGGCCGTGGCGGCATACCCACAGCGCGGAAACAGCGCAGCTCAGTCGCGCCGGAAGCCAGTGAGGACTGTCGACGGGCGAAATCAGTCGACGGAGCCGCCGCCTCCGCACTAACTTTTATCATCCTCTTCCTGTTCCTTCACCTACTCCAACTCCTCCTCATCGTTTCACGTATGTCCTTCCACTTCCTTCAGCCTCCTCCAGTCCTACCTTCCCATCCTTAGAGAAAGAATGAGTGAGCGAGAGAGAAAGAGAGTGAGCGAGAGAGAGAGACAGAGACGTTTATTAAGAGATAAAACTCACTTAGCACACTAGTCCTAGAGCATCTGTTTAGACACACCTGTCGTCATTATTGTTATTATTGTCATGCATACACTTGCGCGAACAATTATTACTATTATATTGTAGCGAAACGGCGAATCAGAGAAAGCGAGTCATAAAAACGTGATACACGTAAGGGTGATACAGCGACTTTGGCGTGTTGTATAATAATCGATTGCTAAAAATTCACAACTGTGTTTGGTTTTTCTTCCTTTTTTTGCATTCTTCTAAAACAAATATACACTAATTTACTATCGTTTAATTATTATTTCTTTTATTCGCCTATTTTCGGATATCTTTTTCCCGCTTTGTCATCCACGCTTACACAAGTTTTTTTTCTGATACGTTACATAGTTTTATTTTATATTCTTTCAGTTATAAATTAGTAGAACACTGATTATTTGCTTATCTTATTAATAATATCAATTACCTGTATTCGAGTGCCACGAGCTCGGTAATGCCACTTTTTACCTATTGATCGTCATTGATAAAACCTTCATTACATGCTTACACCTCCACGTATATTTTGTAAAATTCTTATATGAAAAAAATAACTTTTAAATGTACACTTTGTTCAAAATTGCAAAGTTCAAACGTATATGTCAATACAATCACGCTGTGGATAAAAAAAGATTAAGTAGTTGGTTGTCTCTCTGCCCCTGACCAAAATAACGTAATGATGCAGAAGTTGTCCTTTTAGTCTCACTTCCTTTGTTCTTTCTCTCTTTTTCACTTTTCCTTCTGCCCTGCCTCGATGCGTATATAATTTTTAATAAATAAAAGAAAAATCTCGTTTGCAGGAATAGAATTATTGTGATTCGAGTGTGTGAATGTGATTACAAGAGATGTTTAGCACGATCAATAATTTTGCTCCTTTTTTCGATAGCGCAATATCCGCCAAGTAACAACAGTAGCCCCATCTTTTTCATGCTATTATTTACGGATTAATCATTACTAGACCATTTATTAAAAACAGCAGTTTTTATTCGTCACTGACAACGTCGTTATTAACGTATCAAATATCAATATAATATTAATGCTAAAGCTTGTAAAACTAGATAGTTGATGAAGGAGAACAAAACAGAAACAAATTTCGCGCAATCAGTTTGTGCGTTCCCTGTTGTAATATACAATAACACGCATACACTTCCTACCAAGAGTATAATGATTAATGATCGTTTAACAAAAATAAAATAATAAGTCTTTTATTCTGAAAAAAATTGTTATAACAAGTTTCTTATTTCAAACTCTTAATAGCTAGTTTTACTTTATGTACAAGATTAACGAAAGCCAGCGTCTTTTAAAGTTGCGCTCTCAAATTGCGAACAGAACAAGACAAGACTCAATTTTTTAGCGTTTCATTCTAATCAACGAACCCATGCAAATTAACAAAATGGAAAAAAAAACGTTGTAAAATTTTATATTGTATAAAAGAGAAAATATTCAAGAGGAGAGAAAGACATGATACGCAAACTTTTATATAATAAATGTGTTTGTAAACGACGGAAGAATCCGTGGCGATCCTGTTTTCTATACTCGGAAGGGGCTACTGTGCGCAAATTTTAAAAGGTGCTCGGCGACAAAAGTTAACATTTTTTCGAAAGTAACAACACATGTACAATACACACACCGCGTATACTATGAGATCAAGTAGAGTACGTCGGAGGTTGTCGAGAAAGAAAGAAACTGAAAGAAAGAAAAACAAAGTCGACGAGTGCGAGAGATATAATAGCTTTGTAAATTTTCAAGGGTGAAGGCGATTATTCTGTGAGAATTATATATACGAGGACGGATGATGAGCTGATACGTCAAATAACTCGTACTATACATATAATTTTTTTGTTTTCTTTCTGTACATATTTTTAAATGAAAGAGAGATTGAAGCGCGGTACACACGTCTCACATAGCATTACTCGTATAACAGACACAAAGGACGTCTTATTAGCAGTGAAAATTAAAAAAAGTAAGCAAATAACAAAGTAAATCTACCAGGTCGCTGATTTTTCTTGTGGGTAAAGTCGATGATCACGGTTATAAGCAAGCGTGTGTTTCCTTATATACAGCGGAGATAAAAAGCATGTTTAAAAATATAAGAAATAAAGTGAAAAACGCGCAAAAGAAAGCAGCGTTTTTTTTCAACACATAATTTTAACATACCGAACACACTGCAAAAAACTTTGATCGCGACAATTCTTATACATAATAACGATAACGATTAAACTTGTAAATCGTGTTTAGTTGTATTATTTGTGTTATAATATGCCTCTAATGCAGAATGTAATGGAAATTTAAAGAAAATCTTTGAATCAACTTTTGAGAGTGTCGTTTTCATCATTTCTTTTCTTCTTTTATACATTTTTACGACATCTTTATTTCTAAATAAATCATTGTAATTCTTTTACTTCTCTTTTTATCCAACGCGCCTTACTAGGAAAATGTATTTTACTGTAACAATGCTCCTATTGTCACAATTTTTTATGCTTTATTGAGACTCAGCAATCTCTCATTTCTTTGTTATTAAATTTTAGCAATTTTCAAATATTTCTATTCCGGGAGAATCTTGTTCATATGCTTTGAACGTTTCTCGTTGTACGCATACTTGTAAGAGCATTGCATTTGCTGCTGTGTTTAAGAAAGATATCGTGATCAAAAGTATAATTTTTAAGTTAAACGTTATTTATTCAAGTTGTTCTTATGATGATAAAATAAAAAATAAATATAATCTTATTAATAACTTATATATCTACGTTAAATAAGTAAAATTCTCCATTTTTCACATTCAAGTGAGGAAATCAATAAACGAAAAAATTAATATTTCTTAGTAGTAATTAAATTGATAAAGTCTCGTATGATTATTCATAAAATAAAACAGTTTCTGGATTATTTAATATCCTCAAGTTGAGCTCAAACTTTGGATGAAATATAAAATTAATTAAGAAATCATTAAACGTTCAAATAAGTTACAATTTTACTGTATAATCTAGTTCATTTTAACAAATTTTATAACTACAGTAAATTAATGCTAAGAAGAGAATGACTTAAAATATAGAACTATGTGTTTCAAAGAGATTATAATATATTGCGATACCGCATTTTTCAAAACAGAGCGTGAAAAGCTCGAATTTGAGCACACGTTTTTTGTCGAGTGTGTCGCGTAGTCGGAATTTTCGCACGGGCTGTTAAAAAAATTTATTTATACATTATTTTTATAGAACTAATAACTAAAAATTAATTGCAATTAATATTTCTTCGTTTGGATATTTACTGTTCACATTGATTGAACGAAAGTACAAGACGGGCATTGAGTTCTGAATATAGTAGGAGAGAGCAGCTTCTTTACACACCTGGATTTTCATGGCATCTTTCATAACTACAATCTAAAAACAAAACCCGGCAAAGAGACGGAGATAACTACAACGTCCCTAGAGTTTAGTTGAACCACATTTAAGCGTCTATCTTCGTATTATAAATTACTGAGAAAAGCAGTTTCGCACGCTCTATACTCACATTCAGTAACTTTAGTAATTTATAATCCTTTTTTCTGTATGCGGTAATCTTTATACGCGTATATTAATTAAATAAAGTGTCATTTATCATAGGTCAATTATACAACGTGATCAAACACGGAATAATAAATAAGCGATCAGATTGAAAAGTTGAAAGATGCTAGTTATGCCCCTAAACATGATTAAAATGTGGAAATATACATTGGCTACGTCAGGTCTACGATGGAGATCATAATACGCGAAGATATGAAAATAGTATCGAAAGATCAATAAACCGCGGGATGCGGGTTAGTCATTTTCAACCAGACATCAATACTAATCCTCAAAAAACTATTTACAGCATCCTGAAATATGGCTGCCGTGCAGACTGATACATAGATATAGCAAAAAGCTGAAGAATTAGTACGCCTCTGCGATGGCGTTGAATCACGAACAATAAGGTAGTTGTTTCTTTGCGAAAAAAAATTCCAATAACAGATCAGCTAACGTTGACTGAGTAATGAATAAACTTGGCAACAATTAAAATTTCTTTTTTCTATCCCAGCTTTGCAAGAAATTCGATCACGGCAAGCCGTGTTTGATGACATCTCTTTTCAGTGACTCCTAAAAGACATGAAAATCATTTGGAACAATGTGGAAAGTAGACAGACGGAATGTATCGATTTAAATTTTTCGTAGAGCAAATTTATCATTTTTCAATTGCAAACATAAATTTAATATCAAAATATCGAGTTGATTATATAGAATTATTAATGTTCATCCATTCACATCCAACAAAGCTCATTTCAAACAGTTCCTTTGAGAATTTCGAATAATTTATTAAATTGGTATTTGTAATGTATTCAAAATAGTATTAGTATAAACAATAAAAAATACTGGAACATAATGTATTTGTTGTTCCAAAAAAAATTAAGTGTATTATTTATGTTTGCTATTTTTATACACAGTTACTACAAATAACGCACTACAAACAGGAAAAATCAACTGGTTATCTGGATTTCGAGTCTAGAAACATGATTATTTCAGAAAGCTCTTGTTTAAAACAATAAAACTCACGATAGAAATATAATTTTGTAAACCTTTCAATGATTTTCAAGGATGAACATTTTTGTTAAGTCACAATGCAGTCTATAAGTGGAACTATAGAGTGGTTGTTAGAGCTACAAATTACCGCCAATACGATCATAAAAACTTATAAAATTATTCTACAATCAAGGTGCTAGAAAATATGAAAATTACGTAATCGACAGATTAAGGCTTAATCTTTCACAAAATAATATCAACAAGTAGAATAGAACTGTCTATTTGTAATTAATTTAATGTTTAATCATAAAACTACTACGATGGACCATTGGCGATTGTTATGAAACTAATCTTTTTCTTTTTGGTAATAGCAATCAAGGAAATTATTTTTAACATAGACTGTTAAAGGAATATGTAGCTTTCAGAATTTATAATAAATCATTAGGATATTAATATAATTCTATTGTTATTCGATCGAGAACGTGAAAAGAAAGTAACAATATGCACGCGAAAAGTATGCGCGCGTGGGTCTGTTCCCAGAGAGTCTCTCTCCGACGTCCGCGCGCCCAGTTTAAAACGAACGAGAAAGTCGTGACTCGACACAGTTTGTAGCAGCCACGTTAGCAGCAGCAAAACTAACTACTTCGTTCATCATGACTGAAACATCAGTAGCTCCAGCAGCTGAGGTCCCTGTGGCCCAGACTTCATCCAAAAAAACCAAGGCTTCTAAAAAGGCCGCAGGAGTTAAAAAACCAGCAACTAAACCGAACCATCCACCAACTGGTGAGATGGTAAATGCAGCCATCGTCGCTCTGAAGGAAAAAAAGGGGTCTTCGCTAAAGGCTATCAAAAAGTATATTGCTGGCAACTACAAGATTGATGTCGATAAGCAATCTACCTTTATCAAGAAATACATCAAATCTGCTGTTGCCAAGAAAACTATTGTTCAAACTAAGGGCACCGGTGCTTCGGGTTCATTCAAGCTTGTTACCAAGCCTGAGGGTGAGAAGAAAAAAGTTGTTAAAAAGCCAGTAATAGCAGCAGCAGCAGCGGCGACAGCTAAGAAATCAATTGCCGCTAAAAAACCTGCAGCAACTAAAAAAGTTAAAACAATAACTAAATCCAAGGAAGGTACAACAAAAAAACCAATAGCTGCTAAGAAGCCGGCAGCAGCAAAGAAACCAGCTGCAATGAAGAAAGCTCCAATTAAACCCAAAGCTGCTAAACCTGTTAAAACAAAAACTGCAAAGACACCAACAAAACCCAAAGCACCCAAAGCAAAGAAAGCCGCAACACCGAAGGCTAAAGCTGCTCCTAAAAAGTAAATCTTCTAGCATTCCCTGTTCTCTTTAATCAGTCCTTTTTAGGACTATATAAATAAACGGCCCTTTTCAGGGCCACCATATCATTTGATGTATAACAAGCAATTCATCATTGTCTTAATCTTGTCTGCAAGTAATTTAATCCAACCAGTATTTATTAGAAAAAATAATGCGACAAATAAAAATTGTTACGCTTATACAATTTTTATTAATAAAAAATAAAACTGCAAAAAATGGCATTTGTTATGTTCAACCAATACATCATTTAGTTTAAACGTTCATACTTCCCTTCCCCGCATTAAAGTCTCTGATTATGATTTTACATAGATAAATTTATCTCTTAAACATAATAAAATATTGCTAAAAAAACAAAAATTATTCACAATTATACAAATGACGTGTTCACAAATGCATGTATGTATATTTTACAATCTATACTTTCAATGACATGAATATGAAAGACAATTTAGTGAAATTTTTAATTTAATTAAATGAATGATTTTAAATATAAATTATTTATTTAAAATCAATATTTTTTTCGGACCTAACAAACTACGATTATAAATTTTTGACAATTTTTCTTTTAATGCATTTACTATTTGATTCAATTTCATCCATTCCGTATTAATGCACGGCTTTTAATTTAATATTAATTAAGTAAAGTTTAAATTTACTTGATTAGTAGTAACCGTTGGTTCAAAAAGTTTAAATCTTGATGTATAATAATTAATATGACTATAAAATCCAACATTCACAAATAATGACGTCCTTAATATCTATCTTGACGCATTTGCTGATGTAAGAAATGTTATAGATCCAGGTGGAAGGTGTCGACAGACTCGTGTTAACGGCGCATCAAGTTAGTCGAGTTGACGTTTCGTCTATACCTGATATCTTCACTGTTCAGATAGTCTGTCGTGGTCCATTTAGCTTTCTTCTTGATGGAAATTGAGGGAGACCCCTCTGACTCACCATCAGTTGTCTTCGAAGTCTGATGATTTGAACAGAGGGCTATCGAATATATGAGAAATATAATTCGATTATACGAACATAGCTAAAAAGTTATTAAACATAATTAAATAAATCAGAAATAATTTGTTCGCTTAATAATCAAAGTTTTTAAAACGATTTTTTAAATTGATTTTCATTTACTGTTGAGTTGGACTCTGCAGAGAAGAATTTAACAGAATTTAGATGAAATAAACCAACTTCTTAGTTAGCTGTATAATATCGAATTGCTAAACGTTCAAAAGGAGCGATTGTTGAATAATCATAATATACTAGAGTTGCATACATTCTGTGTTTACGACTACTATACAAAATAAATTTATATCCTGTACATTCTTCATAATGTATGGCTATATTTTCGATTCGATTATTTTGAAATAAAAAAATTATAAATCATTAAAATAATATTAGAAATGTTTGATATAGGTTATAGAAATGTGATACGAGTTCTTGTAGTGTCTCCGTTGAGTAAAGACGTATTTACTATCGCTCCAAAGTCAGTGAATTAAAATCGAAATCGATATTAGAACAAATAGCCCGTACCACTGCAAAGCCACGAGTGAATATCCAAACATCAAAATGACTTCTACAACTAGAAATGCAGTAAAAGAAATACCAACATTCACATCGGGCAGTGTATCAAATTCAAGTAGCGCTGAATTCAAGCTACAAAAATGCAGCACGGAAAAACTTATCTCCTAAAAGAGACTAGACACTCACGGAGTGTCAATAGTCTCAACCGTTACCGTCTTCACGTGCACCATCGGCGATATAGTAGAACCAAAAAATGTTATTTTTGCCTTAAGAATGTTGAACAACAGGACTTGCATTTATCTCACTCGCAAAGACCTAATCAATGATGTAACTGAAAAGTATAAATATATTGATATAAGAAACCAGAAAATTTATATCAGATCCTAGTTTCAAAACAACAGAAAATAATTTTCTCAAACGAATCACAGGATATTCCAAATAATGTAATAGAGAACATTCTTGATAAGCTCAATGTTAAGCGCAGCTCATTAGTGTCTGTATTGAAAGGAAAAATAAAAAAGATAGATATGAGCATAATGTAGACAGCTTCAGATGACAAACTTATATAAACCTATGTGATACCGAAAAAAGTCCCAGATATGTTTAAAATAAACTACGACGAGATGAATTATTTTGTGCATGCTAGCACAAATGTCCCTAAATGTTTTCTACGTATGATAGAAGGCCACTTATCTAAGAATTTTCTTAACACACAGCCCGCCATAGCTCACGTACCAACGACGAACACACCTTTCTAAACGGAAACAATTCGCCTGTAGCACAAAACCTTGAAATTCCTACCACTCTCAATGCACCCGATAACTTAGAAAATCTTTCACCTGTGGATGAAATAATAATACACAGAAAATGACATCTACCTGAACGTCAGAGATAGAAGTGTTAAATTCCCATTTATTAAAAAAACAAAAAAATCTTTCAATAACAATTATTCTTTATCAAACTTCAAGCATATCTGACACTGATGCAAAACCCATAAAAACCAAATAAAATACAAGAACATGCCCAAAATATTACAATGGAATAAATAGCCTGAAACGCCAATATGAATATCTTTAAGAACTTATCGTTGAAAAAAACATCGATATAGTTTGCCTACAAGAAACAATAAATATGATAAATTTTAACAGCTATAATGAAAACAGACGATTATCTGATAGCAAACGGAGTAGGGTAGAGTCAGAGTAGTCGGATAGCTGCTAGTAGTCAGCCACTTTTATTTTAACTTTAATTAAATGAATTCCCGTAACTAAGCAAAATAATTAATTCGATACTAATCTATAAAACCTGTTTTACTCATTAAAACTTGTTTTATTGCATATGAAGATCAAATCTATTTATTTGACAGGATTAAAAAGTGGCCGACTACTGGTACATGCACGTTAATTTTCATTAAGATCAGTTATAGGTCATTATATGAAACGCAAATAAAGTAAATTTTTGTATCTTATTTAGTCATATAACCTTTCTAAATTGTGCTACAGTATACATTGAACAATTTTGATATAATGTTTTTCCTTTTAGTCTTTTGAAATTGTACGTACAGTTTGTATGTTCTACCACTGGTCTAATAAGGATACTACCCCAGGTATACCTCACCGATTTTTTCATTTTTTTATACGTTGTGGTACATCGAAAAATATTTGACCTGTCTTTTCATTTGTGTTAATTCGTCGATTTAAGGGGTGAAAATCTCCTCTAAAGTTTGACCCCGAAAACGGTTTTTTTACCTTTCTCGAAAACTATTTCGAATTTCTCGGTGAAACAAATAAAATATTATTTGTTATTCAAAAACAAGTATTTGTGTATTATTTTTACCAATAAGGGTCAGGTCTTTGCAAGTCATCGGGGTCGACTTATGGAGTTCATCATCAGAACTCGACGTCAGTTCACCGTCAACATTAAGCGTATTTCCGAAAATACCGTTTTAAATACCCGACGAGTAGTTGAGGCCCCGTATATATTAAGCTTAAATAAATACCTACACTTATTATCATTAACTGATCATTGACTGATTTCGATTAAGTGGTTGACCTTTGAGTAGGACAGATCTCTGAGCATTAGATTACGAACAAATCAGCCCTTTTCAGGGCTATAGTATAAAGCTACAGTTATAGTTGAATCTCTCCTGTTTATGGCCTCTAATTCAAAAGGGTCAGAAACATCTTTAATTTCAGTGCATGACAGAATCTAATTCAAACATCAAAAAGTAAGATTCAAGCAAAATAACCATTAGCTATTTCGGCTGCAGCCCATCCTGTGAAGGCTGTTCAGACTGCCAAGAAGAAAGCATGTACGAAGAAGTAAACATCGACCGAGCATCCAACTCCGGCTCTCAGTGGACTATTGCCAAATTCAAAACCAGCAAAACGAAGAAAAGAATCCTCAGCCAAGCAAGCAATCAAGCAGGAAGCTGCAACGAAAGCGAACCCACAACCTTGAAGACCAAGAAACCAGCCAGGACTTCGACAAATATGAAGATGACACCGCAAGTAAGGCTTTCTCGAGATAAGATCCGAGGGTCAGAAAACCACGCCTAAAACTTAAAAGTCGGCTCGTGGCGCTAGTGTCTACTTGGCCTCCGAGACGTCATATGTCGATGCTGCTGACGAGAGCTCAGAGCCATTACTAAAAATCCGATCATTCACTGGCTCAGAACTGTAGACAGACTGTGGCCATAGAACGTCAGACAGTTACACACTGTATTTTTAATGGGTAACATTGACGGTCAGTTCAGTAATATTTCTCTGACGTGCTTTGACGTTTACACAACAAACCCCGGACTAGCAGAAGACGCGTTGCGTTAATTTCGTCTTAACCCAAACATCGCAGAAATTTTTTCAATGTTTAAAAAACTATGGAATCCATAGAAAAGGAGCCTCAAAGGAATACACGCGAAGAAGCAAATTCCGTGCTTTTGGAAAACAGACAGTCTGACAAATTATCTCATGAGGCTCTAATTAAATTGACCAAGGAAGCAATCGCAGGAATTATTGAAACTGATCCACTTTTGAAAGATCTCCGCAAAGACTCAACAAGCGAGGAAATCAAAGCTGCCACTGCTGTAGCTCAAGGGCAGGCTATTCAATTGAAACTAGATCGTGGACCTCTGAAAAGTTTGATCATTGTTGTACGTTATCATTGATCAAATATTATAATTATATCCTAACCTTTAAAAATATTATATAGTATTTTACGTTATTTTTTAGGTACCTCGTAAAAACACAACTATTTTAGATTTAAAAAAAGCTATTCAACGACATACAAACGTAGCACTAAGACGAGAAGGTATAAATAAAAAAATCAGTTGGAAGCATGTGTGGAAAAAATATCATCTGTGCTTTGATTATTTAAGATTAACAGATGACAGTGAACCAATTGATAACTATGGAATTGTTAATGACTCAGAATTAAGATATGCGAAGAAAAGGAGGGAGAAAAAATAATTTAATTATAAGAATTTAGAGATAAATAAATTTATATTTTTGTAACACTGTTTCTTTTACAATACAACATATCAAATTTTATTATTCCTCATTAATTGGAGGCTTCATTTTTTCTTTTGGTTCTTTAATATCAACTCTTAAACCAGAAACTACATCTTCTAGCATCATGCATGTCAGTTCAAAAGCAGCAGACTTGTAATGGTTAGTTACAATCAGAGTTCTTAACGTGCTAGTTTTATATAAAGCTTCCAGTCCTCTTTCTGATACTTTGCAACAATCTGATAGATCAAGATATTCAATGAATGGCAAATAACTTGCAATTCTATCAATACACCAATCGTCAATTTCTTCACATCTAGCAAAACTTGCCCATATCACTCTAGGACAGTTTTTAAAATTTTCTAAACCTTCATAATGTATAATACAATCACTTGCATCTATTTCAGAAATAATATACTTGGAATCAAATTTGTCTGGTAAATCAATACTTTTTTTACCAAAATTAAAAGATATCCACTGATCACTGCCCTTGAATTTCACTTTGCCTCCGATACTAATTATGAAGTAAGCTAATGCCAAGTCAAAACCCAAAAGTTCATACTTCTCTGGATTATACTTTTGAACTTCCAACTGTTTCTGTTGAATTTTTTTTTTCAAATGCTTTTTTAAACCCCATGGAGTAAATTCTATTTCTGTTCTAAACATTTGAAAAAAAGAATTCTCAGAGTTTATAGGTAACATTGGTTCTTTACCCTTAAAAGTTTTCCGCCATTCTTTGAGCTTTCTTTTTGGCTCTCCTACAGTTGGATCTTTACTTAAATCTGAACTAACTGGATCATCATATTTGAATTTTTTATAGATACATGATGTAGATATTGGTAAAAATGAAGATTGCATTATCTTGTGTAAGCTTGAAGTCTTCAAGACTCTTTGTGATAACATAATTTATGCTTTTAATTTATATTCTATTCTTTAAAAATTAGACCTCTTAGTTGCATGATGATCTGGGAAAAATATGAAGAGTTGTATTTGATTTTATGTGGCAAATTTTTTAAGCCATCCCATAAACAAACACCGAAAGTTGTACAGGCACGATAAATGAAAATTTCGTTGTGCCTTGAAAAGTCACTAAAATTAGTTTTAAAATATGCAGTAATGTAGATGTACTATATTGAATTAAATTTGTTTATTTGATTATAAAATATTAATAGAATGATAAACATCAATAACCATAACTATCCTCTTTTTACAGTTCTGTTTAAGATATTAAGGTTAGAATTTTTGCCGCCATGACATCTATATTCAGTATTTAAAAATATTTCATCGGTTTCCGCGCGTAATTGCAATTCGCAAATTGCAATACTCCGATACTTATGAACAGTCGAATAGTTCATTTGTTGTTCATCTGGTATTTATATTTAATTAATTGAAATAATTAATTAAAAACGTACGTATCAGAATATAATATTTAAGTTTATATGTAAATTTTTTCGTGAACCAGTTGTGGAATGATACTGCTTTTTAACCTAATTTGATATTGTTTAGAACTAAACACTATATTTTTAGGACGAAATACTTTATAATATCTAGATGCATGTCATTTTGTGATAATTAACTCGTTTTCGCGTTGGCAATTGTAAACATTTCTAAGAGAAATACGTCTATAACATGATTGGTTTTTAAACAATATCTAGTATTCTCATTAAACTGTTAAGCATTGTAGATTGTAACAATAATTCTAATAGTTAATAATTACAGTTCTTTTATTTTTATTTTACATATAAAAGGCCTTTTACCTGATACCTTTTTCAACCTGTTATCAATTAAGCAGCTGAATTTTCCATAGTGACTGATTACCGACTTTTCTTGTAGTAAGTACTTAATATAAGGTAATACTATAACTTTTTACTTTTTAATTAATCAATGTTACATTCCAACGAAGTCTGACTATTGAAAAGTGATACAAAGTTCTGTTTCTTTAATTCTACATACTCTTATAAAGTTAGTTCAAAAATCATCAAAAGTAGCATTGTGATAACTAAAAGAGTTTGATGATTCAATGGACACTAAAAATTTTGAAAATCAATCCACATCCTTGAGATTGAATACATAAAGCTCTTTCTTGTTAAGAAATAATTAATTTTCAATTTCATAATTGCTTAGTTGTATAGTGAGACCAGACATTATGGAAACTTCATGAATAATATGTCTTATAGGTGTTATAATAAAACTAAATCTCTTTTACCTTTTTGATTTGCTCGACTTTATGAGAAAGTGTGTTAGGTTAGTGTGAAAATACACAATACGATGTAATGAATTTTTATTTTTATTCATTTTTATTATAAAAATTTTGTAGTATATTATTTTCATTATTATTCATTTTACTAACAACGCTTGGAACATCAACAATATAAAAAATGATATTCATTATTTTTAATTTATTATTATCTATTTACAGTTGATTCCTGTAATCGCAAGGTGCAACAGATTGAAACCATACTTATTTGACTGCCCATTGTACCTTTATTCAGATATCTTCTTCTACCTTATTTAAGAGTGGATAAAGAAGAGAATAGGATTGGACTGAGTACAATCGAATTCCTTGGTTTTTATGTATACAGTATGGTATGGTAGATATGGCTAAATAATGTGCCCACTAAACTCAGCCACACAGTCTATGTGAATATTAGATATTTGAAATTAGGACAATAGGATATTTATAGTTCATATTCAGCATTGTGTATTTATGTTACATTGACTATCTAACGGATTAAGTTAAAATTTTTGTAAATATGACAGAAAATGAAAAAATAGGCACTCTTGAAGAGGAAGCTTTAAAGCGTAAGGAAAGATTAAAGGCACTTAAGAGAAAAGCTAATAATCCATTAAATAATGATGAAACAACAAAACTCCCACCGTGAGTAATAACCTCAAAATATTTATTCTTAAAAATGTCAATAGTTCATTTATATTGAATAATTCCTTATTTTTTACAGGCCTAAATTTAGAAGTTATAAACCATCTGATGAATCTTTAAAAGAAAAAGCCCTTGAAGATGCTAAAGCTGGTGACATTGAATCTGAAGTGAAAGATCAATTGCAAGCAGCTACCACCAAACCAGTTATTGAAGAATTGGTATTTTATCTTTCACTTTATGCTGTTAATGGAGCAAATTAATTAGTTTTATTAATGATATTCAAATTTTATGGCAATCTATAAATTATATTAAATTGCATATTCTTATTGCCCTTTTCCCCAATTGTAGAAATTTCTTAGCATTTTTTTCTAATATCTTTTATCGATGCAAAAGTAACAAAACGTCAAATGTAATCTACAAATTTAATAGAATATATATAGTAGATTAGTGTGGGAATTGTGAGTTATATAACCCAATAGATTTAGTTTTATATGAAAAGTGCTGTGAAAGCTAAATCATGATTAAACTGTTACAATGAAGAAATAATTACAGACAAAATATATATTTATAGAGTAACCAAAAGTAAAGTATATTTTATCATATTTATTAACAATTGTTTGTTACAGGATATAAGTAATTTGGCACCAAGAAAATCTGACTGGGATTTGAAACGTGATTGCTCTAAAAAACTAGAGAAATTACAGAAAAGGACTCAGAAAGCAATTGCAGAAATTATTATGGAGAGAGCTAAGAAGCAAGATCTTGCAACGGCTGTCAAAGCAGGCAGTGAAGTTTTATCAAAGTCTTAGTACAAATGAATAGTTATAAAAAAGTATATAAATATTAATACTTAGTACTAGTGTAAGTACTAGTGCTTTTAATTAATTTTTATATAAATGATGCATATATTTTTATCTGTCCAATGATGAAACTGATTACTGAATTTAATTATAATAATTTTCATGTAAATAATGGAAAATGTGATATGCTTAAAACATACATGGCTATCATAACCGAACATGTAAAAAAAAAAAGAAAAAGACTATAAATCACCAAAAGAAGCTATTTTATTCCAACTTGGTTATTATTTATATGAAACAAAAATACTGTCATAGATTTTACTATTGGTATCTTACTATTAAAATGTGATACAATTAACTTTTCAAAAAATTATACACATTCAAAAACAAAAAATATGTAACTACTTTCTATTCTATTTTTAATAATTACACAATATAATTAACACAATATGAAAATTGAAGTTATTCTACTTATTAATAATTTAAAATAATGTCTTCCAAGAGGTTATTTGCTTCTTCATTGAGTTTTGTTATACAATTTGAAGTACACTATTCTATTTCTTCCATAATTTTAGCTTTTATTATTAAAATCATTCCTGCTGGAGACTATGCGATTGTATCTTGGAGGACTTTATTTTATTTACATTTGTATATTACAAGCAGTTGCGCACATTAGTACAAGTGTAAGGAAAATTTTTCTAATTGTATAAAAAATTGCACATTCTGCTAATCACTTTTTTCCATTGTCTTATTAGTTGTTGAATTTCTACGAACGATGTTATAGTTACAATCTTATTTTATTACAATACTTGATTTTTTGCTTTTATTTAATATTATTTACTTGCAACTAGTTTTCTGAACTCTTAGAATTAAATGTTTTATTCAAATATTAAAATGATTTGTCAAATGTCTTAATTCATAGAAGTGGTGTAGCCTAAAAAAGAATTTTTAATTCGTGTAATAACAAAAGAGAACAATTTACATGATTTCAACAAAATACTTGCAGACACTTGTTTAAAATAAAAATAATAAAATAATACAAAAATTTTGAGTGTTTAGAAATTCTAGAAGTTATTTAAAAAAATTTACTTAACGAATTTCGAGTATAAAACAAACTAAAATCAATAAGATTTGTGACAAAAAAACTTTACAGACTTACGTTAAGACATACAAATGAAAAAATATTGTTTGGTATACTTTCACTTACATACGTTAACACTGAGATTGTATATCAATGAAACTTAATTACAGTTGACTGAAGCTGCAAGAAAAAACTGTCAACCACCTTACGAAACCTGCTTCATATTGTATAGGAACTATTATTACATGTAACTCAGTTTGGATCCAAGTTGCCAATCACATCAACAAAACTTATAATTTCTTTTTGCAAATAAATGTAAGCTTATCATTAGAAGACTTCTTTGCGTCAATAAAAGTTCCATATGATTTCCACGATAAAGCAAGCCATATTTTCACGCACCTGAAGATACATTGTGCTATGATCGCTCAATCAATTCAATTTCTACAACTTACAATATACAATCAATTGAAAATAGCTACATAACTTTGTGTATGCATTTCTCTTTTTGTCGTTCATTCGCACAACATTTAAGCGAATAGTTGCTGTCGTAGACTCGAGTTTCATATGGCCTCTCTGCGATGTTGAATTCCCATGTTGGTGGTGTCGACAAGCAATGATGTAACGCGACTCATGCTGGAGAATATAGCAACCTTCTGCGTTGACACTTGTGCCGTATTGCTCATGTCCAAGTGTTTTAAAGCTTGACACTTGGCCAGATAATCAAGACTTAGCTCGGTTAATAATCGACAGCCAGACACATTCAACGAATCGAGTGTACCAATGGTTCCCGCTGGAGGTGATGTGAGTTGTGCTATACCTGCATCTGTTATCCTCAGGCATCCAGATAAATTGAGTACTTCTAGGTGCGGGAGGTGTTGAGCTATATATCGCAATGCCACGTCAGATATGTCACAGCCACTTAAAGATAAACTTCGTAGGTACTTCAATCGTGGAGTCTTATCTATCAGGCCAGGCCTAGAGTCATCTGGAGGACTAAGAATTTCTCTTAGGCTTGAGTCGTTAAAACCTAAAACAAAATAATAAAATATAATTGAAAATTTCCATGTCACTTTTACTTAACAAATTTTGAAAATACTTTAGCAAAACTCACCGACAACGTAACTTAAATCGAGGGACGTCAGGGTAGGACAGGCATAAGTATTTAAAGCGCAAACGCCAGCCCAGTGACAACGCTTGAGTGAGAGATTTCGGAGCTGAGGTAATCGGCTAAGCAGCCAAGCTAATTGTTTCTTTGCAACGTTAGTCCAATCGAGAATAAGCGTTTCTGGCTGCCGATGAGTGATACCTGAGAGATGAGCTGCCGTCAGGAGATTATTCGACAAATCAACAGTTCGCCACAAACTCGGATCGAGGCTATACCGAGCCCAAGTCCTACACGCGCAGGCACAATTAACAAGATCCTTGTTGGACAAATACTTAAACACTGACAGAACGATGGTTTTGTTATATACATGTGGTTGTCCATGAGTGTCGTTCGAACGATGGTTATTCGGTGCTGTTTGGGCTGGATGTACATTTACGAACTGATTCTTCATAATGACGCTTCGATTAATAACTTGTGATTGTTGCGATATCTGATTACTATGATTGACCGAATTTTGGGAGTACATTCGTTGATGACCTTCCGCTACTTCTTGATCATTCCAACTCTGAAACACAAAATAAGTATATAATACAACAGGAATTTAGAAGTATTCATTGATTTTGATGAAGCTAAATATTACCTCGTTAGATTCGTTTTTAATTTTTTTGATAGGTGTCATTGCCGACTCCGAATCGGGCATGTGAAGAGATGACGTTGAACTGGAAACTGATAACTTTCGTCCCCTTGCTTTGGGTTGCCTAGGCTTTGCATTCCTTCCACTCTCACAACAATCAAAACACTCCCAGCTATTAGGTACATCATCGTTGACGACAATGCTTTGTAAATCGTGCCCAGTACACTGAGGATGCACAATTTCAAAACAAATCGAACATTCTAATAGAGTTGAAGGTACAGTGGGACCTTGTTTTCCCATGAGTGGAGCTGGATGTTGCCCCCAACCATCTAATTTACAAACTTTACAAGCAGCAGTTACGGGAAGCATTGGCCTCAAACATTGCCTCATCATACACGTCTGCTTGGCTCGTCCACTTCCACCGAATTTCACCATATCCTGACAGTACACACACTCGCCACAATCGGTCCTTGTGCACGCTTCACACTTCTTACAACGTGTTCGTCTTCTTCGTGGTCCTGATGATCTGTCAGATCTTTCATGTAATGGCGGCCTCACCAGTTTTTTCCTGCCAAAGCTCAGCTTATCTCTGTCTGATATCGTTAGAGCTGGTGGCGGAGGCAAAACTGGAAAACCAGTCACCGCTAATTCAGGATTGTCATGTCTGTGTTGCTCTACGATGCAACGAACATCGTGGATTAAAGCTACCGGATCCTTTATTAATTCTGGAACGTTTTTCTTCGTTGATGGCAAAGAATGCAGGTACATAACTATAGACTTCAGACCGTGAAGTTCAAGTGGCGTTAAATGAACGTGTTTCGAGTTTTCTGGGACTATGTGCTGATTTTGAGTTTCATTTATATCCAAGTGACTACGCCTTAGTAGAACATGAACATATCTTTCAAGTACATACCTGCCATTAAATAGTTTTTAATATCGAGTACGTCAAAAAAAGATATCGCTAATAAATATATAATAAAGATTCTTGTACTTACCAGAGCATTTCTGTGAAGAAGGGATATCGAAACTTGTGTGGGACTTTAGTTTGTTCTTCTACTTGAGCTACTCGTAATTGCTTATCTATACCAAAACTGTGTAAAAAATTACCACCGAATACTAGAGAATCATCTGGTGTATACACTGCATGAATCCATCCTGTTGGAATGAACATAGTCATCCCAGCTTGTAAGGTAATTCTACCACATTTATCGACCATATCGCCAAAGAAAACATCAGATTGTTTTCCACTCAAAACCCACTGTTGATACAGAGACAGGTTCTTTTCTGTTGGTGGAATGAGCCAAAAAATTTTTCCACCTTTTAGAATGTGATACCAAACGCTTGTTCCACCAAAGTCTACATGGAAATCAGTGTAACAGCCTTTGACAGACATAAGGCAATATTTCTGTACCTTGGGATACATCATATCTTCTAATAAATTGGTTGACTCTACTTGGGATTCTTTTAAGTGCTTAGGCCAAACAGTATCGACCCAATCGATCTGCCTGACAAATGTCGGTGACTGTACATAATTTTCTAATTTGGTATGACTAAATTCAAGTGAGATCACATTTAATAATCTAGACTTGTTTTCATCTTCGTAATACTTTTGCCATTCCTTCATAGACATCTCTTCATTCTTCTGAGTATTGACATCCATAACATCCAGGAGTCTTCTAGAACCTTTAAAAAGAATAAATGTATCAATAGATAAGCATTGCATGATGAAAAACGATGAACAATATAAATTTTATTTACTTACCAACACACGTTCTAACATCATTTACAGTGAAATTTGTGCTTGGTACTCTTATGCCAAGTCCACTTTTTTCCCTTATTATAAGAGGAACACCAAATCCATGTTTCTGTATGTATGCAACTGTGAGGTCAGAACCTGTCATCTCTCGAACCAAGCCATTAAAATTGTCCAAGTTGTATTTGTCACTTGTGATTTTATCTTCCACCTGGAAACCTCTTCTCCCCTCAAAAACTTCATCTGCGTAAGCCCAATCATCTGTATAGAATTTCCTTGTTCTCTCCCTCTGTACAAATAATGAAAAAACATGGTTAAATTAGTTCTCTTATTTTATTGTAACATTGCAACCAGTCACACGATTGATTCTATCAATTTAAAAACACAAAAATGTTATGCATACGAAAATTCAAATTTAGCGCGAAAAGCAAATACGAGGATCTCAACCGCGACTGTAGTTAATAGTTATAGAACTATCGATTTTGAAATTCGCGGAATTAAAACAAACGAATGAGAAAGTTTTGGTTTTGTAACAATAGAAAACTTAGCCATATTAAAGTTAATAATGAATACTTTAAGTGAAGGGTGAACTGATTTCAAAATTATTCAACTAAAAAACTTAAATATTCAACACTGTAAATGTATTGTTTCAAATTAGTTAACACCTGCTTTATATCACAATACCTAACAGTTTAATAAATACTATACAACCTTTCGTCATTGTTGCTGTGATCAGTATGAAACAATGGTTATTGAAAAAACTTAGTTAATTATTCATACTCATGCACTTCAATCTCACCTTGGTAGATGCATCAGATTCATATTAAAAACCCCGCGCAGTTCACCCTAAGAGAACTACCCACGCGCGAAAACAGTACGAAGGGGGCGCCCTTTAGTAAAAAAAAAAGGGGAAAAACGAGTTTGACAAAAGGGGACAAGTGGTGCTACAAAAAAAGAAAACAAAAAGAAAGAGGTGACGAATAGAGAGAATAGCTCTTATTCGAGAGGCTAGACTATCTCAAATTACCAATTGTCGTTTATGAGGCTGCTGCTGGGCCGTGGTGGCCTGTGCTGCACCGGGCTCGTCGGCCATAACGCGGCTGCGATTACCGGATACTCATCGATCAGCTTGGCCTGTCCCAGCCTCCGTCGTTCGCGTCGTCACGTACGCCACTGCCTCCGACACACGATGTGCACAAGTGTGTTGGTGATATATACGCGAGAGAGACAGACTGTGTATATCGACGGCATGCGCGCACTGCTTATTTACTATCGGCGGTGGCGCACGGAAACGCACCTCCCTCGCCATTTCCACTTTCCAGTAATAAGGACGAATTCTTCAATTTAAAATTCCCTAGATATGAATAATATTTCCCTGGGGTTTTTTCCGTTAAGGTTACCGACTGCTGATTTAAATTGTTTGATCGAAAAATCGACCGTGCATGAGAATAGTTTGAGTTGCCATAATGAAGGCGTTTTAAGTTTGTGTTTATAAAAGTATTTTGTTGATATTGTTGAAAAATGCAATTTAAAAAGAGACTACCGATTGCGGCTAATACTGACCGAGAGATTTCTGAGTACTTTCAGTCCAAAAAGGAAACGTCTACCATCAAGTATGTTTTAAAATTTCGTTGCACAACTTAGGGAAAATATAAAAGCTGCCTTCCAATATATTGAATAATTAGTTGATTCAAAAATTAATATTTATTGTCAAATTTAGCTACATACTATGCTTACATGAAAATGTATAAATTAAAAGAATTCGGATGTGACACAACGGTTAGCAGAGTAAGAATTAATAATCAAAAATACTAAACAAAGTCTCATATAATATGTTAAATAAATAATTTAAACATATAATTACAATAATAATTATAATCTTGATAAAAGACAAAACGAATATGTGTCGTAAACGCAGTAGCACTGTTTTTTACTCTTACCATACTGAGCCATTTGTGTGTACATGTAAATGTAGAAATTATTTACACGTCAATGTTTAATTAACAAAACTATATTTTTTAAATTATATATTATTATATATTGTTAAGAAACATTAAAAAACTTATAAGACTAAATAAATCTTAAAATCATTATATAAATGTTATAGCATATTATAAGAATTAAAATGACTAATGGAATAATTAATTACGTGTTAGACAGAGATCAAACTACGTTTTTCCATAAATATATTTAAATAAATACAAATAAAAAATACAATACAAATACTGATATCTTTATTATCTGTCTGGAACAATATGATAAGATTCAAAAAATCTATTATACAACTTAGATCATAAAATATATCATTAGAAATGTTGACTACTTTTTTCAATGACATTTTGGCCTTATAATATCTATAATTGAAAATTGAATATTGTTTCTCATGCCTTTATTTCTATGTAGTATAGTATTTCCGAAATTTTCTATAACTATTGAAATCCGAACTTATAATAAAATTTAATGCTCGCTTGCAAAAATCTTTTATTGTACTTAACAGCAGCTTCAGAAGCACATGGAGCTTTTTTTAAAGGAGTAAAGTTGAAAAAGCTTTATTTAACCTAATAATATTTTTAATCTTAATATCTTTGATAAATTTTTCCATTATTTAAAGTTTTGGTGTTCAAAATTTTTATTGACTTAGAATGTTTTTTTTTATTGAACCATCTAAATTCATCTAGGAAAATAAATACTGTGTATCATTGTTTGTTTTTTTAGTTAAAGGATCCTTCAAAACAACAAAATATTGGACTTTACAGCATAAAAGTTTTACTTTTAATTCATCAGATTTTTTTACTTTTAATACTAGGTCAAAGTCCTTCACAGAATCTTTGAATTTTTTCAAACGATATACTAATTTTGATCTATTTTCATTTGCATAAGCCAATTCATCTGATAAATTTGGAGCTAAAGCTTACTCAAAGAATAAAGTTGTAATATTTTTTAATCAATTTGTGACTACGTTTTCCTTATGGAGAAGATTATTTGCTTCTCTGTAAATAAGAGAATCAAAACTATTCTTTATATATTTTTTCTATCACCTTTTACCTCTTCTTCACTATATGTAGTTCTTTCGAAAGTAAATTTTATTATTGTCCATTCGCAAAATATAAAAAGGTCTTCTTTATCTTCTATTATTTAACTTCATCTGCTGTCATAATATAGCATAACTTAAGCTATAACTATGTACTTTAGATAGTGGTAGATACAAAAAACTTGGAGTAAAACTTTTTCTTCTTTTTATTTTTTTTATCTGTGCTTGGGCAAATTCAAATGATCCGAAAATTAACAAATTTTCTTACGTCAATGATTTTTTGTATACAATAACGCAATAATTAAGTTTTTCCTTTAAAATGTATAAAGATTTTATTTATCACACAAATAACCTGAAAAAAAATCATCTAAAGTTATCAAAATTTAATTAAGTTTACCAAATGGTAATCATTTCATTAAACAAACCTGTAAATTTCTTCAGAATGGTTACTTGTTATGGAACACAATATTTAATATCAATACTATTAGCACGCTCCAAAATATTGAAAATACTGATGTCTACAATTTTTGTTATATTTAAATATTTCGTGCACGTCGATAATTACAAACAAATTCGTATATTATATTTAAATGATAATAATTGCGTTAAGAGATTTAGACATGGGTAATAGATTATGCTGTGCTCATTGGTGCGATTATATTTACTTTGCAAAGATGGGGTTAGTGATGCAAACGCCGTTCTTAATAATGGATTTTATAAAAAGTTAATCGTTGATTTTAACACAATAATTATATTCTATAATTTATCTACTTTCGAGGCTTAATTGAAACACTTAAGAATAATTGTCAAAATATTTGTTTTATGAAAGTCAAAAAAGAAAACTTGTTATACATTTACAATGTACATTAAATTTAAATCTACAACATTGTCAATAGAAGTAACTTTTCATGTATGATTTATAGAAAATAAAAAAATTCACAGAAAACTTAATATTTCAAGTATAAATTAGTATAATAAATATGTTTTACGCAAATCAATATTTGTCAAATGATAAACATATAACATCAAATCGAAGTAGATAATAAAAAAATTTGAAATGTTTTTTTCGCATGTTATAATGATCATTCTTTGCTGTGAGTATGCCAGCCTCTAGCTCCACTTATTACATGACCCAAATTTTTCATGAAAGCCTTTTCATGTTCTAAAGGTAATTTATCCCCTTGTAATGTTATTTGTGTAGCTTCTAAAAATTCAGATAAATCGTTATGAAATGAATGTGTGTGTGTGTGTGTGTGTGTGTGTGTGTGTGTGTGTGTGTGTGTGTGTGTGTGTGTGCATGTGTGTGTGGATATATATATTAATTAAAAGAAACTTACGTAATAAGCATTTGCAAAAGAAATAATCTTTCAGTACCAACTTATTTTGTGCTGGCTTTGAAGCATTAAATAATATGACTACTTCTTTTGACATGTAAGGTTTAATCATATTTAAAATATTTTTTGCTAGAGTAACTTTTTTATCAATAAATTCAGTTAAGCTAGTGACCTATGGTTATAAACATAAATTCTTAAATTATTTGTAGACTAGTTTTTTTATGATTTTTATAAATTTACGTTGACTTACAAAGTCTCTGCTAAAGTTTTGATTTTTAGATAAATCGTCATTAAACTTCAGGAAATCTTCAAGTTTTGAAAATGGTATTTTTAGATTGTGCTTTTCTTTAAAGCTTGGAGTAAATAAAACTGATAGATTGGTTGGATTACCATGAACTATTGCTTTTAAAGTTACTTCGTTTTGATCAACTCTCTCAGTCAACTTTTGCAAATCACATTTCAAACTAAGTAATAACTGAGCTAGATCTGAAACTATAATGTTATTCTTTCAACAGGTATTAGCTATAAATACTAATAAAATTTCATTAACGGTAACAGTTTTACCTGAGCTTGACATCGTTAATCGCAAATCATTTTCTTCGAAACCTGAAATAAAAAAATTTTTATTTATCAAAAAACCGCCAACAAGAAAACATAGGACCTAATAAAGATGATCAATAATTCAACAATAAAAACGACATACTTGATGTACTTGGTACTTCATTATCAATCATTTGTCTTAAAAACATAGGTGGGTAAATTTGATTTCCAATAGATTGCCCATCTTCATTTTGATCTAACATTGTAAAATAAGTCAACATCATCAACATATTTAGTATCTCGCAATACTTGTATTGTATAAAAAATGTTATTTAATTTCGACTTTACCTTGGTAAATACTTTGTGATGACTGAGAACTTTGATCTTGTGAGCTGCTATATTCAATATTCAAATTATGTTGCCCTATAAAATTAAAATTATTATAGGATATTCACATTGAACCATAAAATAACTAAATTTCTCACATTAACAAAAACTTACTTGAAGAGTGACTAATAGCTGTATAAAGATAATTGGATGCTATAGTTTCTTGTTGAGTAACAGCTGCACCAAAATATATTATTTAATTTAGTACTAAATTATGTTATAAATCTATCAAATAGTAAAAATATCTCCATACCGTTATTGTTATATGTTTCAGTTTGATCAGATGTTTCTAAGAAAATTATGTAGATATTTGAATTTTATAATAAAAGAAATTATGAAAGGTAATATATATTTTTTAAATTATACGATTTTTCTCTAAATTATTATATACCTTGATGAAGATACTCCTCTTGAGTTACTACTGAAGATAAGTTTTCAGGAATCGATAATAGACTCACTGGTTCATCAGTGGTATTTTCAGATGAATCTGAAAATTAAATTATAAAAAATTTTACTTTCTATGGATTATCAAATATAATTAAAAAATGGAACTAATCGTACTAGACAATTGTGAGCTGTTCTTTTTTATTTTAGCTTCTAAATTTACGACAGCATTGATGTTATTATATTCTGGAATATAAATATCAGATTAAACTAGTTGACTTGTACAAGTAAACATAAAGAATTATCTATAGCATTGTTAGACATATATAAAGTAAGAGCTATGAGATTTTTAAACCTAATTGTTTTTGAAGATAGCTCTAGTTCTTTAATTAAATTGAAAATAAAAAGGTAAACAATGTTACCAGATTAATTGGGTTCTTAAACTTGTCTATAAACATTTTAATTTATTGTTAATATTTGATATTTTAACTTACTGTTACTTGTCTTATGAAATTTTTTTTCTTCTATTTTATGTACAAAAATATTTGAAATTTTCCTTTGTGATAATATTGCTATTGAGTCAGCTAAGGTAAAAATATTTGCAGTTTAGAAATAGTTAAAAACATTAAAAAAAATTATCACATACCGTCAAATTTCACCACAGATTTCTCACTTTGATGCTGTATATTTTTTTCAGAAGAATGGCATAAATTTTTGATAGGATGAATATTTTCTTTGTGATGCCTATTTTCTGCATTTAAAGACCTATCCCAGAATTCATCTAAAGCTGGAACAAAAATGATTTTAGCACTTTGTTGAAAAAAATTATTTCTATTTGTATAATTAACCATTTCAATTAAAACTATAAACATTGCACAGGACACAGTTTTAGTTAATAATATTAAATATCAGCTTACAACAGAAAACCCTACGATCTTCTTTGGGTTCAAAACTTTTCTGTACAATTTCCAGCTTAGGATACTTTGGTGAGCATTCTAAGCCATCCTCAACTGGAAATTCCTCTAGAAAAAAAATGTTTATTGACTAAATTGGTTAAAAATAATTTGAAAAGTTAATTTTTCCATAATAATATCTTATGAAAGCTGATCAATGATTTTCTTGATTGAATAATATATAATAATTTGTCAAATAGAAATTTTAAAGAAAACGAAAATTAAATTTCTACATTGCACATACACACAAAGCTCAATTTAAAAAATATTGTTTTAATTTATGGGCAATATATTGCATAATAATTATAAAATGGAACATGTGTACTTCAACTATACCAAAAAAATTTTAGAAAAACCAATGCCTTATGCTCGTAAAAAATCTAAAAATTGTTCTTGTTCCTAGAAAGACTCGCGATCAAGTTCCCGCTATACGTATTTCCTTTAACACAAAAAGGTAAACAACTGTCGGGGTCTTAAAATTTATTTACACTTTTTCTACTTAAACTATAAATTCGTCGGTCTTTTTATCAACAAAAAACACAAGAAGATAAAACAAACTTACGGTGTCTTTTGGAACCGGTAAGTGTGAGAGCCGAATGCTGTTCTTCCGAATTCTCAGACAAGCTTTGAGAATCTGAGTTGACATTACTTGCCTGAGTTGCAATGTTTACTTGCTCGTCCATTACAGCATCCTCATCGGTGATTACGGGCATTATCCTCGCACCTTCCCTTGTCTATCTTCCTCGGTAAATTGTTTGTAATGCGCGCGAAACGTTTCCTAGAATCTCGTCGAACTTGTAAATGCGCGATGCGTGTGCTGTCTGAAGAAAACACGAGAGCAACGCGCCGTGCTGGCTTCGTTCACTTTCGCCTCGCTTTGTTGCCGACTCCGTTACCAACTTAATAACTTTAAAACTCTCTCGATTTCCTCGAACTAAAAAGAAGTTAGCGGGGATATTCCGCGTGCTCGTAATGCTCTCACTGTTGCGTTTAGTTTGAATTGGCCGACTGGTCTTCCCGTGGTTCACAACGACTAGCCTTTCTAATCTTCAGAGTGACTTTGTTATTGACTTTTAGACTATGTTTGCTCCTTAATAAGATTGTTTCTGTTTATTAGTTTTATTTAATAGCAATAATTAATACAAGTGAACAATATTTAATACAAGTTTTCATTTTAACATCGACGTTTATATAATTTTAATAATTTTTTAATATAAATAAAAATATATTTAAATTTCATTCATAAGTGCAGAATATAACTTGGACGTTATCGAAAGTAAAAATATCTCAATAGTTATTGAAATATAAAAGTTATGTACGATTTTTATTCAAATAAGATAAGATGCTAACAATTGTATGCCACATCGAGAGAAGCAGAGTGTAACAAAATGCACTCCAAATATATTGAAGCTTCCTGTAGATTTTATGTACATATAAAAATATATCAATGAATTTTTGCTAGTATTGCGAATATTATTACAAATATTAAAATGCTAATCGTTGTTTTAGGCACTATCCAGAATGGGATGTTCTTCATGGCGATCCAGCCATCGAGTTGATGCGAGTTCGACGAGAATTGGCGAGCGCTGATGCGGATCTCGAGGCGAAACGTTTGGAGTACAATGCAAGGCGACAAGAAGCTGACGAGCTTTGGAACGATTTGCGTGAGAAGCAACGTCAATTGAGGCAATCGTTCATCATGTTCGATGATTTCGTCAAAGAGAATCGCGAAAAACGCGAACGCGCTGAACGGAAAATAAGAGACGAAAAAGATCGCCAGAAGATTCGATTGGCCGAGGTTATTATACGCCTCAATTTTGGCTGCTTTATATTAGTGTGGAGTTTGATATTTTAACAGCAATGCTTTTTGTTAAAATCTCAAAACTTTACGTTTTCAGTAGTCTAATGCATGTAACGTCTTTCGTTTTCTTTATGACAAATAATAATCACTTGCGTGATCATAATTTAAAATTCATTTTTGAAATTGTATACCAACTAAATCGAGCGAAATTCTTGCAGATAGAGGAATTGGAAAAAAACTTGGATTACATGGAAAAGGCACGCGACAAGATGAAGGGTTTCGTGGAGGAATACAAGCCGTTTCAAAAGTATCTAGAATCGGTGCTGGAGACGAACGAGTTCCAGTCTATCGCCGAGATCTTCAACCGTTACGACACCTTGATCGCTGCTCGAGCAGCTCTAGTCGAGAATCAAGACGAGAGCCTGCAGACGCTCGAACGTACGAGCGCTCATATGGTATTTATCAGTTAATTAGCGAAAGCCCCATTGAGGATTCCAATTGTCGTGTTCGATTCGCAGCAAAGGATGACGGAGGACAAGTCGCAAAGCCTGATGGACTTGAACGGGCGCCAGGCACAGCTGCAAAGCAGACACGAACGCGCCAGAGCAAAAGCGTTGCACTGGGAGAACGTGGTCGCTCGCGTTAAGGAAGTCACCGCGCAGCAGGAGCTGGAGGAGACTCAGGTGCGTATCTCGCGACTCTTTCGGAGCGAGCGCCTCCCCAGAACTGACCACCGGACGTGCAAAACAGGTGCGCGCTTGCATCTGGAACCTCTACCGTCAGATATGCAAGCGCAAAGGCGTGCCCACCGAAGCGAGCCGCGACGATCTCGAGCAGCAGCTTCTCCACGTGAAGCGCACAATTGTGGAGCTCGGCAAGATTGTGCGCGCGGCCAAGCACAAGGCCAGTCGCGAAGCCAAGGACCTCGCTGCGACCGCTCGGCAGAAAGATAATCTACAGGCGCAAGCTCGCCTGCTCGAGAAGCAAGATACAAAGAGCAGCTTCAGAAGTAGCGTCGACACTCTTACGACTGTTCGCAGCGTTTGGAGGCACTAGGCGTGCCTTTGCGCTCGGCTCATCCGTCGTCGACTTTGTTTTAACAGAGTTTTGGGGTTTGATCATTGCTAAATTGAGTAAACTGACAAAGATGAAGAAAATTACAAAGTACATTGAGTGATGCATTTATTAAGAAACATTTTCCATTTTGTACAGCAAAGACACACGTGCAATAAAATCACACACATATATAATTGGTTGTGAGCTCAAATGAGAACAAAGAAAAGATTCACTGATATCTCTTTTGAATAATTTTGCGCGAGGCCGGTAAGTGACAGTCGGAAACGTTGTGCAAAAGCTGCGAGTAATCGTGCTGAAGACGTTGCTCTAACTTTTCCTTCGTCTCGTCGATAGTTAATGGGATTTCCAGACCTTCTACCACAACTTGCATTTCTTCCTTCTCCACGCATCTTTACGTATTAAGAAAATTATATACACACGCGATCGTACGCGATCAAGCGACAAAGCACTTTTGGATAATATTTTCATTTTTTTAAATTTTTTCTTTACGTTTAGATCTTTTGTCACTCTAGTATATGTTGGTTCGATTTTCCTGAAATGATTCTGTAAAATGATCGTGAAATTCAATCTATCTATACAATCTACAGTTCTTTCATGTACATGAAAACTCTACATTACTACTAAAGCTAACAATACAAAAAAACTAACTTTAACACCGTACAACGTCATACGAATAATTACATTCACAGCTAGCTATGTTTACTATGTGAAACGCTATTACACAGTTGCCTAAGTGAAAAACAAATCCAATACCCTTCGCGTAGCTCTTCATCATTCTACATAAAATATATCAATTACCACAGTCGCGCACAGAGGGAGGGTTTACAGGCGATACTTACAGAGCGCAGGGCTGAGTCGGGGCGATACTGGAGAGCTGGGGAACCTGAAGCTTGGGCTTCCTGTTCTCGTCGAGGCGCAGTTCCGCCTTCTGCGTCCGATCGATCCAGTGCATTTTGTGCATCATTTCCGCCAGACGCTTCTCGATGATGCCCAAGTATAGCATCACGTTGTTAGTCGTCACCTGCTGCTGCTCGCCAAGTAAATCCAAGATCGGCGAATTATCGCATCGAATCGCGTGGAACATGCTCTCCACGCCTTTCAGCAGTTTATCAATCACGTCGTTGCACTGTCGAGACATTTGCAATTGTTATTATTTCGTTGCGACGTGCGACGAATAAATTGATTGTTATTGGTTCAATCTCATTGTCCATCATACTGTTTAATGCTGCTTGATACTTTTTTTTTGTCATTGCGATGTGATGGACAGTTATTGTTTTCTTTCCAATTGTTGACATTCCTAATGTACTATTATAAGTATATAGAAAATGCAATAATTACTTATATCGATTATAGATTCACATATTTTCCGTAAATATTAAAAAATCATCATATGTATGTTACATAAAGCTCTACAAAGACTGTCACAATTCAAGTGTTGTTTGGAATTGAAAATGATTAATCATCCAAATGGGGATAGTAAAAAACGGTTAAAAAATAGTACAAAAAAACGTGTGAAACAGTACGGGGTCTTTGTGCTTTATGGCCAAGAGATTATCTTGGTACTTTGACGCTGTAGATGCATGGCTGAGACGGGCACTTTTTACATCGTTCACGCGTGCGGCGTTGTATTTCTCTCTCTCCCTTCCTTCTTTTTTCTCTGTAAGACGAGAGCACGGCTAAATAATGACGGACTGTTTAAGCTTCTAGGTACGTCGTTGTTGCCGACGCGTTTATTGCTGCGCGTATTGACAAACGAGCCAATAATTTAGACGTTTTTTTTATGCCACAGGGTTTATGAAGTTTAATGTTTCCGGAGTGACATTGTCAAAACGTGACTTCATTTTGACGACGAAAAATTACATCGAGCGAGACCCGTTAAAATGAAGAAGTGTAGCTTAAGGTACGATACCTCGGTCAATTGGCTTTCGGCAGCATCGGCGAGCTCAGTTTGCTCCTGCAGCTCTTTGGCGATGGTCTCGAGCGTTTCCGTTTGCTTCTGGCCTCGGTGCACGTTCAAAGCCCGAGCCTCGTCGATCGCCGATTTGAGCTGCGCCACGCGAGACTGCAGTCCCTCCAGCTCGTCGTTTAGCTCGTTGACGTAGCTGAACAGAGCAAAGTTCTCCTCCTCCTGCTTGAGGAACTGCGCCGTGAGCTTGTCGATCTCCTCTTCCCCTGCGACCAGACGCGAGTCTCTTGTAATGGCGCGAAGAGCACTTGGACCGATGAGTTGAGTTTGGGCGCGAGCGCACCGGTGAACTGTTTGATGAGGTTGAGTATGCGGTTGTAATTGTCAATTTTGTCGCGCATCGCCGCACGCTTGGCCTGCTTCTCGGCGTCCTTCCTGGCGTTGAGATCGCTCATCTCGCGGTACTGGCCCTTCACGCCCAGAAACTCCTGGAGCTTCATCTCGTTGTCGATGGTGCGCTGCAGCTCGCACATCTCCGATGTGTGGTTCTTCAAGTCTCGGGTGCCCCTGCAAAAGAGCCATGGGAGCCTCGTAGACGCGTACCTTTTGCTGCGTCGCGAGCGCGCGTTCGCTCGGCAGCGATCAGCCGTGAAACAGCGGTTTCGTCATCGCTGACCTCTCTTTGAGCGCGTTAATTTTGTTGATCTCCTCGTCGCGCTGGTTGAAGGTGATCGTCGCTTGCTCGATCAGGTCGTTGATCACTTGCTTGCCGGCGCTCAGCTGGCCGTTCAGCCGCATCCAGAGCGCGTTGAACTGGGCGCGCTCCTTGAGCAAACTGTCGATCTCCATTCGCAGCTTGGCGTTGTCCATCGCCAGTACGTTGAAGCGCCTCGTCGCCACTTCGAGACGATTCTCCAGGATGCTTATCAGGCGCTCGTGTTTCGACGTGGTCTCCTTGAGCTGGTGATCCGTGCGAACTCTCAGCTTTAGCCCGTCGACATCTTTCGAGATCTGGAACGACTGGACGTTGATCGCAATGCGTCTGGCGCGCTCGAGACCCAGACGACCCGCAGCTTGCCTTGATGATCTGCTCTTGCAGCTCGTCGATCTGCTGGCGCTCCTTCTGTATCTGCTCCACAAACTTGGCCCTCTTCTCCAACAGTCTCCTCATCTCCGTGCTCATTGCCTCGTCCTTCCTCGTATTATTCGGCGATTTGGCCGCTTTGATGGCCAACACCAGTTCGGCTTTCTCGTGCTCCAACCTCTCGATCAAGTTCCGTTGGTTTCTCAGCTGATTCTTCGCCTCCTCGGCGTAAGCGACTCGGTCGTTCTCCATGATTCGGTACTGCCTTTTGAGACGCAACAGCTCCGATTCTGCCATCGTCTCGAGCTCGTACTCGTCTTGCGTCGGTTGCGCTCTGATCATCATCTTGGCGGCCGATTTTTCTTTTCACTTCTAAAAACAAAGAAGAAAAGGAAACGAAGGCAGGCAGATGCTCGGTTGAGCGCGTGTGTGGGCGGTCTAATGATTATACCTTACACGTTTCAACGGTCACTCGCTTCTATGCGATATAGGCGCGACGAGCAGCTATAGGAGTGCGGCTTTTGTGACTACGGACAATACAAAGGACGATGAGCAGTCCGTGTGCGCGTCCGTCGAACCACGAGTTATTCAGACCACACGGTTCTTCCACTCGGAGCTGCTGTAATTGGACAATTATCGTTCTTCAAATTCGCTGGACCGCTCGTGCAGGCAGCACGCTATTGATTCGCCGATTGTTAAAACAAATTTAACGATCGTTATTTCAATCTTACTTTCACGTGAAAATCAAATTATCTGTAAAAATACCATTTGCTGCGTGCTTATATCAATTACTCTTAAATTAAGAATAATGTTCCTCGCTTGAGAACCATTGCTTCATAATTCAAGACAAATTTACGAACGTATTTTAGTGTCGTCGTTCAAATGAATGATACGATGCCTGCCACTTACTACCCTCGATACGCATCCTCGCTGTAATTTATTCGCGACAGACGCAATAAATCCAAATAACCAGGCAACGGTAGTCAATATCTCGACATCTGACCCGGGAAAGAAAGTTCCGGTCGAGTATAAGGCACGCGCAGATATATAACACGAGAAACCGATCGCTTACACCTACACCTACACACACTTCTCGAGCGCAAAGGTGCCTCAAAGGGCAACCCTTGCCGTGGCTCACTTCACAATGCCCGGAACTTCCTCTCGACGACAATTCATCGGCATCTCGCTCGTACGCGGGTCGCGTGGCGGCCGAACAGCTGTACGCGCGTCGGCGCGCGTGTGGCTTTGCGACACAGCTGCGTGGCGTTATATTTCCGTCTATCGCAGCTGATGCGCTCCGCGCACTTTTTTTCCCGGTTGCCACGGACAGCCGCTTGATCGTTACATCGGTCCCGTTGCGACGGCGACCGAAATATACCGCCGAGTAATGCTGCGCTCGCGCGTCGCGACGCAAGCAATATTTATTGGGATTTATTGCGTAACCGATGGGGTTGCGATGCACTGTTGCAGCCATTGACAGGATAAAACAATGAAACTTTTATTCAAAATCTTTCGAGTTCGAGCGTTGTGTATTCAATTCTAGAGCTTTCGTTTTCGAATAATTTGTATCATGCCAATTTCGATGGTCAACGGACGTTTAATGGAATGAGATCATATACCGAACGATAAAATTTGGAAATTTGTGGGTCATGTAGACACATGAATAACGATACGAATAGCTGTCTGCCTTATTTAAATATCTATTTATAAAAAGTTTTATATAACAGTCGATCAAAGCACGAACAAAATACACTCACGTTAAAATTCCTATGTGGAAGTCACGTTCTATAAATCAATACGATCAGTCACGATGTCCCAAGTCTGTGTACAGTATTAAGATCTGTTTAATCATTGAAATGCAGGAGGTGACGAGGTACGTAACCCAACCACAAGCGTTCGGCAAAGGAAAAAATCTCTGTGGCGTTTCACTGATTGGAAAGTATATATAGGCATCGGATGAAAATGAAACAACGTAAGACGATACCGAGTCCGAAGTCGCGTCCACGTATATAGCTTATATTAATAAAACGACAGATGGGAGTGAGCAGTAACGACGTTTCACTCGCACTTTCCACAAACTAGTGTAAAATGTTTACTTTGGCGGCGAAGGGATCAGGCCGCTAACTCGTGCGGGCATCGGATCGACGCGAGAATCTAGGTCAACGCATTTACGCAATGGAAATAAAATTTTCATTTTCCCGAAATTCTTTGGCTCTTTTTCTCTCGATACGCGATCAAATGAATTATGCAAGGGCTTTCTCTCGTGGCGCGTACTTTTCCGCGCAAAAGCGCTGTGAGAGCAATCTGCGCGATCGTACAACGTCGGATGCGACTGATTGGCTCGATCGAAAGCATCGAAAAAAGAAGCAGCGAAGCTGCCCGGTTCATCGATGCATATGCGATGATTCGGAGAAGTCGCCTATTTGCGGTGTATGCATAAGCATAACACGAAGACTGCAACCGTTCGCTCGTTAACAATGTATTCCATCCCGGAGGGACGAAGTTCTGATCGCGTGCACGCCAAGGGCAAGGACGTTTCGGCGCGATCGAATGGACGCTGTGAGTCCACGTCTGTTTGCGCCGGTGTATTCCGCTTGTGAAAATTACCCGCCTTTGATGAGAGCGCGCCAGCGAAAGTCACGGGGAGCTACATTGCCAATGTTTACGAGAACCCAGCCAGGGAATAAAAAAATTAACGTTCAGCGCTGAGCTTTAAAAAGGCGTATGGTATTAAAATGACTATACCTATTTCGACATTCGCGTCGGCGCGCAGATCGTAAAGAATGAAGTGCCGAGAAAGAAACGAGCGAAACCTTTAGTTCGATTAAATTAGATACATAAAAACCCGTGCTTATAAGTTTCTGCGATAATAAAAGGTAAAATACGCGCGAATGTCTAATTCGATTAGTCCATTGGTCGAAATTGAAAGGACAAAGACGATAACACGACTTACGACCGCGATTAATGTAGGTACAAGAGCGATAGCTTCGTTAGATGAACTCTTGGGGTGAAATTTACAAGAAGAAAAGAAAAAAGAAATACTTTCAAAACGAATATTCAATGAAAATACCTTTGTAGCAAGTGCTAATCGTTCTAAAACCCGTGTCTAACTATAGTTATAATCTTTAGCGAAGACTGCTTAAAAAAAAACGAGTCTAGAAATGTGGATAAATGACCTCGTCGAATCTATCGTATAGAACAAAGTATCGGCACACTCGAAACCATAATAACCAATTTCATCGTGATTCTGTGCAATTTTCAAGAGCCGCGCGAGCGAGTGAGTCATCGCAGGAGTCGGCCAAACAGCAGATACTATAGAGCTAGTTTTCAACCGTGTAGCGCCGCGAATGAGGAAGAAGGAGTGGGAGAGAGTGTAGAGCTCAAGCTGAGCGCGACTCTAGTCAGTTCAGTTGGTTCAGTACCTGGCCGACCGTCGTTCATGTCGTATTCTCGTACGCGAGAGTAAACGTATGTTTAGGCTTTCTTAACACAGTGTTTATGTTTATATATACTCGCGGTGTGCGAGTGGTGGCATGAGCCTAAGTGTTGTGTCGTTAACGTTTGACTTGATGCAAAACGCGGAATCCCGGATTTGATTTCGGGCACCCCGCGTTTGAAGTGTAAATCGATCAAGATTCGGTGGTCGCGACACTCTTGGTTAACGTCGTCGTCGTCGTCCTCGTCGCGGCCACGTAATAACATTTGTTGCCGCAAATTCCTTGAATTACAAGCTACCTGGCGTAGACGACGACGCACTATTCAATTACCCTTGTTGTGTGAATTTTTTCGTAGAGACTGTCGGTTTGCCGGCAGTTATCGACTCATCTGAAAGAGAGTGGGACCCAGCTTAAAGCATACCTTACAGGTGAGTTTTTTGGAACGCTTAATGTACCAAAGTGCACGAGGCGGCTTCTATATTGTTTTCTTGGATGGGGAGAACGAGTTTTGTTCGGATAAATATACGCAATAATAAACGAATCATTTTTCTTAAGTTTTTTATTTTTTCTCGACGAAGATTTTAGCATTGTAATCGCAAGTTTTTACTGTAGCTCACGTTTACTCGAAAAGGTTTTATTTACTGTCGCAAATGTTTTCCTCGATACAGATATTAATTTGCACGTTTTATAATTAAACAATAATATTTGTTACGCGCATCAGTCAATTCAATCAATTTAATTAAAAGATAAATTGTAATACGCAGTACCAACACACGCTAGCTACGTAATAAAACCAATTTACCTCAACACTTTTCATTCCACATGAAAGACGCCTTTAATTATTGAAATCAGCTGCGATAAAAGGAAAAACCCAACACACATGTCAATCTTCTATGCCAGGTTTTCCGCAACTACATAGCTAATACGAATCTTTGATACAAAAAATTCAACCTCATAAGTTCATCCGTAAGAGAGAGAGAGAGAGAGAGAGTATCGGCGTTCAACAAGTGCCACGCACGTGACTGACCGAATTGTTTTTTTTGTTGCTATATACATTCTTTTGTATGGATCGCGAGAATGTGCAACTGGATCAGCGACATGAACATTTTTTCGTTTGCATGTTTAATCACCGCGCCTGCCAGTTAATAAGCGCGTTAGAAAAAAACCTATTATTCCAGGTAAAAGTGGCAAGCCAAAGCAGATGGTTTAGAGAATGCATATGTTATTTTGAGTAGGTGGTATAATTTACGTTTATGCACGACTGCTGACGTGTGTGCGTTTATATTGTCTGCAACCGTTGACTAAAATTATTTATTGATGAAGATAAAGTGATTACGAGTGATGTGATAATTTTTTAAATGATAAGCGTGCGAAATTTCGCGCGCCTAGATAAAGATAACGGTTTTTTTGGTATAAAATAAACATCTGAAAATATAATTGAAGTCGACGTGGAGTCTAACATCTGGCTGGTTGTGTGCCTAACCTCGGCGGAAGTGTTGCCTGTGGGTTAGTCGTTTCGATCGAATTTCAGTAGGTACTGTACAAGTAGGCCGCGAGGTTTGAGTGTTTTCTTTTTCATCGCGGTAATCACGCAAAGGACAAGAGGATTTTCAGATCGGCTTATCTTTTATTGGCATTGGATCGCGAGAGTAAGCGTAACGAGGTTTCTAATAGAAAGGTTTTTTCTGTACAAGTGCGTGCGTGGAAAACGAAACGATAGGCTCGATACTGTCATAAGTTATATTATTTTTGGTATGGGTCCAAGAGAAATTTGGCACGAAAAACGTGATTTATCGACAATGTTATTTGCACACACTCACTCGCTCATTCACTTACTATGTCACTCACACACACGTGGCATTTGATTATCGAAATGGATCGCTTCCATAAAAGTGATTTTTTTTTCTTTTATGTATAAATTATCAGTCGAGATACAGATATGCAGTGCGGTTCGCCGTCGTGACTCACACTTCAGACAGTGTACCTACCACTTGTAAATTATTATTTACGATAAGCAAAAAGGTAATTGAGCTTGGAGTTTTTTTTCTTGCAGAATTTATCACGTTTTTCTTTTCTTGCCTGTGACTGCCATATTGTAGTGACGTAATATTGCATTTAAAACATTACGCTAAAAGATGACGATATCGGTTATCGGAAATGGCTAATTTTCCTAAGATAATCGTGAATGAATTTTTTAAATTAACGATACAGCGTTTAGACGATAACTGTCAAATAAATTTGAAGCTAACTGCATGAAAGAACGCACTATTATTATTATAATTATTATTATTTTAGAATCATATCCAGACAACCTAAAGATAAAAAACAAACTAACGCTGTTCGGTTTTGTCTGATCATCAACCAAACGTATAGTAGCTCTCAACAATAAAAATGCATCATGCGTTTTGCAATGCTACGTATCGTTAAAATTGTGCAACTGCATAAAACTCGTTGCAACAAACAAGAGATCGATGAAACGAAACGCCATTGCAAAATATTCGCTATTCCATATCATTCACCAACGTAACGAGAAAAAAATCGAGCCCTTGGCAGTACCCTGTAGAGATAACGAACGAGAACGCAAAAATACAGTGTCGCGCACAGATAATCATCGAGGCGAGGTAGTTCACAAACACAGATAGGTGCGCAGCGATACCACCTGTCGACCCTCCGTCTGTTTTTTTTCCTCATTATCCGACGCGCGTGGCGTTGAACTTGAGGCTCGTCGGAACATTACATATTGGTGCGTTCGCGTGTAAACGTGGGAAAAAATTTCCGAGCGCTTTTCAAAGTCACTGTCGAGGCTCTGTGCGATAAGGATGATGAGCGCTGTGGGTTTTCCGAGTGACATCGAGAGAAAATTTTCACATCGAAGATGTCCCACGTGACAGTGAGCATTGAGTTGATGTACACATTAATGTTCACGTAATTAAGAACCGTTATGCAAATGCTATAACTAGTCAAAACTATAATTATGTTCGTTAATAGCACATAATAGACGTAACTTTTTCCAATGGCTAGAACAAAGACGTTCTTTCTTCTGTAAATAACGAGGCTAATATTAGAAAACTCATTAAATCCAATTTCAGGGTAACCATTTTTGGCTTTTTTTTCTTGCAAAGCAACGTCATTATAATTGTATCGATGAATGATAAATTTTTCGCAGTTTCATTATACTAGCAAACATTGTAGACTTTTTCACGTAGACACACACACAAAATGAAATTCTGCGTAAATGACTATCCCCACGAGCACTCGAACCATAAGACTTTTTCAACCTCTCTGCTTTAGCCTTCTTATCATCTTAAGTAAATCAACCCCGACATTACTCTTTGACGTTTGTACAGTAGAGAGGAAAAAAAGAAACACGAAGCTTTATAAAGAAGAGCCCGCGCGCGCTGCACTTATCGACAGACTTCGATTCACGACGTTACCTCCAGGCGTTCCATAATCAAATCAAACAAGTCTCCTTAAAGAGACGTGATTTATTCACGAGCGCCGTGCCTGTTTCTTTACGTTAATTGGACAGGAGGTATCTCCGCTGTTTCGAGGATGATTCGCCGCGGGCGCGATTTCGCGGCTGATGTAAGCGCTATTGTAGTCACGGGGGCGGCCCTCCGGAGGACCCCACGTTGTGGAATAAAGTGCCGACGCGAAACTCGTCGATTCTCAAGTCGACGCGTTTGGAAAGTCGCTAACAAACAAAACTATAACCTCCAAAGACACTCACCCTCTCGTCCTCGTTTGTAAACGTTGCAGGCCTAATGGACCAGGGTGATGCGGCTCCTCTTCCTGCGACGCAGGGCGCGCAGCAGAAGACGATTGTCTGCACCGGCTAACTTGCGACAGTAGGAGAATCCAATCGAAAAGGGATAAAAAAAAGTGGAAGAGAACAAGCGACAGAAACAAAGAAGATGTTGCCGAGAAAAGACGGCAACTACGAGTCCTACGCGCTCGAGGACATGATATCGAGTCTTCAGACGCGAAGCGCCTCCATCGACGAAGACATCAACAGCGAAGACCCGATGCAGTTGCTCAGACAAAGGGAGAGAGATCTCGTGTTGGCCGCGGAACTCGGTAAAGCCTTGCTCGAGAGAAACCAAGAGCTCACCAGGCAAAGCGAAGCTCTCGCTGAAAATTATGCTGCTAAGGTTGAGGTGAGTTGACTTTTTGTGTTGTACGTCGGCAATGTGAGAAAGACTGCGGAAAAGTTTAGTTTTTCAGAGGTTTCTTTTGCATCCAATTTCATTAGGCTGATGTACAAAATAACGACAAGAGATAAGATATGTTGAAAACATTTTGCATGAATCGTTGGTCTTGTTCATAATTTTTTTTTGAAAATATGTCTTCTTAATATGCGGTTGCAAGAAAGATTATTTAAAATGTTTGTTAGCATCCGTGAACTTCATTGAAAATATGGAAGTTTTAAAATGATCTCTCAGTAAGTAATATTTACACGTGTATATCGCCAACACGTAAATCAATCAGAAGCTATTATTACGCTCGTTAAAAGATTTTAAAAAGTTTTGAATCTCCCGCTGGCAATTGCTACTTTCAGAAATAGCACGTACACTACGATGTACACCTAAAGACCTTAACTAGCGTTTACTCATTTTCTCTTAAAGCCGTTTAATTGCCAACGCGATTCCTAATTGCCAGGTTAAAAATATTTTGGACGCGTAGAAAACTTTGAAAATTCTATAAAATAAACGAAACGTCACTCTCATCTTTAACGGTCTGATAAAAAAAAAAATATATATATATATATATATATATATACATATGATACTGAAATTACGCACAGTGGGAGGAGGCAAAGTGCACAGCCGTTCTGGAAAGTGAATCGGAATGAAAATAATGAAAGTCCTAGCTGCTGCACTGGCGAGCAGCACAAACATAACAAACTGTAACGTCTTGCTTATAATCTTTTATGCTCACTTGTAGTTTACTGCACTCGGCGAGCGATTTCGCGTACACAGGGCTTAAATTTTATTATCTAATTGTAATCGTGACTGCACGCTAGATATAATAATAAAAAAAAGTGAAAATTCGCGGTTGTTTGCGTTCGCAACGACGATTGTTGCGAAGTAATCGTGTTTCAATGTTAATTGAATGGACGAAAGATCTTTATATAGTGAAGCAAGTGTAAAAAGTGCATGCATTTTGAAACGAATCGCGCTCTATAATGCAATTTAGTTTTCCACTTCATATTAGACGATAAAGTAGTTTTTCACCTTTAAAAATCGTTCAGGTTTTTTTGTTTTCCAAAGGCCCAAAATAAAAATAAGAAGGATTAGAAATGTGCATTGCATTATAATTTTGAGCCGATTGAGAACAAAGTTAATCCTCTATCTAATAGATTTCACATGTAAATGCGAAATCGACGTTTTCTCTTTCTTTTCGGCTTGCACTCCAATGGTTTCGTTTCAAGGTAAAAGTGTATTCAAAAGTCATTAACGACACTTAACATATCAATTAGAATGATTCCATAATTTGTTTCAGTATATCTGTCATAATCGAGTTCAAAAGTCTGCTTTGACCGTGAAGATCTGCCGAGCGACGTTTAACAGTTAGCGCGGCGACTTCAAGTTCTATATACGCGTTTTACGAAATATTAATGACGAAATTTCGGAAGCGCAAATTTATTCATGAGAGCCATGATTCGTTTTTGAGCTTGCTGCTTAGTCATATATCATTAAAATCGTAATCTGTATCTAACCTCCAATTTACATTCAAAAAAACTTACCATTTTATTCCGTTGCCTCATTATTAATTTTTTCAATCAAATTACAATCTATTGTTCAATCTTCTCACCAAATCCTTCGACGCCAGTCTGATTATTCGTTCATTGCCGAAAAAAATCATTGACAAAAGAATGCAATAAGTTTGTTGGCTTATTTATCCAAACGACACACGCACGTAAGTTTCCTCTAGCTGCTCATATGGTTTCGGATAAAAAAAAAATAAGCGAGAGACAGACAGTAGGTAGACAGACGCGCTTAAGTGGATTTGCGGCGATGCACGCGTTAACCAGCCCTTCTTGCTTCGTTTTTTTCTCCGTCTCCTGCACGTGACGTACCTCCGGCGTGCACGTGTAATTTTTTTTACTTTAACTTTCGAAGGCGGGTTCGAAAACGTGCCAGTGTGTTGCATCAGATAGTCACGAAAGGGTTCGCAAGCGGAGTGATGTCTACAACGATTTTGCAAAATCATCCGAGCACGTAAATGCACGTCGATTCGCGCTGAGATGAGACGATTATTGATAGTACTCGTTTGTTAAGCCCTGCAATTTCGATCTGTACGCGTGCACGTTGTCGGGAAAAAAATGCATAATTCGAGCATAAGAATCTTAATTCGTTCAACCAAGTATAGTTTCATATCGAGAAGTAGCTCGTGCAGCAATTAGCGGATTCAAATGAGAAAATCTTTCGACTGTGGCAAATTTGTACCGTTAAACAGCACGCGCGTCCCCCAAAAGAGATAAACACCGATAGCACAGCACTGCACCTCCGCCATTCATCGTTTCAGTTTTATCAAGGCCGCCACGTGTCATTGTTTTGGATTTTTACCGTTGACCTCCCTGACTCGCAACAGTGCATTCTCGATAAAGGAAGAAAGAGTCATACAAATAGCACTCGTCCGCAGATAAAAAAAAGGCAGCCGACTCCCTGCGAGAAGCAACCGAGAGAAAGACAGAGAGAGAGAACAACGACGGTTCGTTCCTCTGCGTTGGGCACGCGCGCAAGGAAAGTCACGAAAGCGTGGAAATAAGCCACTTACTTGGGCAACTCGCGAGTACGTATGTGTGCACAATGCCCGGCACCACGCTTCACGGATGTGTCTGTATATGTGTATATATATATTACCTTAACGTTTTGCTGCTCTTTTCTCATTCGCTGTTTTTTTTATTTTTTAACCGAGAGGAAGGATACATATCCTCCGTAAAAATATCCAATTTGCCGTACTCATGTTCACATATCAAAAGCTCAAAAATTTGACCGTTCTCTGTGCGAGCCGGAAGGAACGAAACCTCTTTGATATAAGTTTCGCTTGAGTAGTCGCAAAGTCGATTTCGAAAGTTGTGTAACGCTTTGTTTGTACTTTTTTCTTTCTCTGTTTTGCTTTCTTACAATTTATAAACATTGCAGTGTATATCTCAATTACGATTGATAAAACGAAGCGTACGTGTCGATCAACTCAATACACGCGGCAAAATGTACAAAACCACTTATAGTGATTGGTGAAACCGCTAATTAAGAAAATAAAATGCTGTGAGTGTATGTGTATATGACGACTATTGTTTTCGCAGATTCGTAGAAAAGAAAGATACGTAGGGAAAAAAGGCAGTTTGTTGCACGCGTCTTTCTAACGCATGCGTTGATACATTTTGCAATTAATCTCGCTCGGAAGGCTTTTACATAAGCGTTCGTAATATCGGAAGCATCGAAGTAGAAAAGCTGCCTTACCGCGATCTCCTATATAATCCTCTTTTATTCAGTCGATCTCTCTCTCTCTCTCTCTCTCTCTCTCTCTCTCTCAGCGCTGTTAACAATGGGTTTTTCTTAAAGTACTTATATCTTTTTCTGTACTACACTCGCTAATTAGTCATCCGGACGTCACCAAAAACATGATGCGCCACTATATAAATAGATAGAGATCACGCTTACAAGTCAACGAGCGAAGAACGATGCCAATTATATCAGGTTGCGCTGAAAATTGAGCTTGGAAGAAAGAAAGAAATTTATGAATTTTTTACGTAATGTCCGCGCCGCAAAATGTTATACTTATTGTCCTCGGTTCGAAAAAAATCTGCGCGTTACGACGAGCCTCCACGGCGTAATGGAACAAGTGTAAGCCAGTCGATTGTATTTTTTCAATTCGTTAATCGCAAATATTTATTACGATACGAGCGTACAGTCTGTATATGTGTGATTTTCGATCGGCTAATAAAGTATCCGCTTTTATGTAAGATTCGTGCGTGTCCGCTTTTAATTAATTGCAAACTTCGCATTGCGACAACCATTCACAGCGTAGTTGCGCAGAACAGCTAACGAAAAAAAAAAGGAAAGAAATAAGCGTCGGAAAGTTGAAAGTCTCTCCGTTGTGATTTTCGAAATGATATAGTCGCCGTGGCAACGACTTCCCGTGAATTATCGCGCCAATTTCAGAACAAGTAGTTTGCGCGCGCACAAGCATTTCAGACAAACGGAAAAAAATGAAAATTGGATTTAACGCGAGGCGGATCGTAATGCTAGTGAATTGTAATACGTAACTCATGGGCCTGATATCTGGCAATATTAGTTAGTTTTAACTATTTTAGATTGTGTTATTCAAGGTTGTCGAGGTACAAAAGGAATTGCTTTTTCACAGTATGTTAAATGATTTTGGAGTTGCACACTAGGTAGCAATTACACCGACCGGGTAGCAATTAAATTTTATGAAATACTCTCGTACTTCAATTCTTTCAAAATAGTTTCTTAATCAATGGGTCGATTTTAATCGCGCATAATCATCATAAAAGTGACATGGAAAGTGAAAAAAAATGGTTCATCAATTTTCATTTCAAAAATAGAGCACGAGTTTTTAGTTGCACCGCTTTATTTATTCATAGACGTCGATGCCGACATCATTTTACCTCTACTCGTAAACGCTCCAATTTGACCGATGTTCGTCTTTTCAACAAGCCTCGCTGAAATGCTCCAAGGTAGACTCTCGCGGGTATTTATCGTCTCAATGCCCCCGCACACCGCATTCCTAATAACGAAAATTACGCGACTTTACTGACGCTCGTAGTTGACTGTCGATTGATCGATTTCTACAACGATTTAAATTTTTTCAAAGCTAGATTTGACAGCTCGTACTTTACCCTTTAATGACGAAGAGTCATCAATCTTTAAGACTGACGTTTTATGCAGCCTAAAATTGGTGTGAGGGGATAAGAAACTCCAATAATAGTGGTTTTCTACCAATAAAGGGATCGCCTCTCTCCGTTTACTGCCTTTCGTTGTACTATCGATATTATAAGTTAGTGGGCGGTGATGATTTCTTTGCAGATGCGTGTTTCGATTAAACCTGTAAATTTTCGTCGATCCAACAATAATACCAATCGCAAATGGGAATTAGATGATATTGTATAGTAGTAGAAATATACGAAGGT